TTCTGTGCACTGCATCCAGGAGAAAAACGCCCCTTCCATAGGGATCGGCAGCCCAGGGGTAGCACAGGGGGGGGATGGGGAGAGGGGGTGTCCCTCTGTGGCTCCTCTTGTCCCGCTGCAATGCGGGTGGGAGCGATGAGCTTCCAGAGCTAAACCCAAAACTTTGATCCGCCGGTAGCTGCATAAATGTTTAATGCACCGCAGCCCCGCTCGGGCTCAGGAGATGTGCGTTTTGAGGCCAAACTGATGTTTCTAATATTATGATATTCAAATAATTTTAATCTCCCCGGCGCTTCCCCAGGCACGCACCTGGACTGCTAACGAGGGGCTGCCTTCAGGGCTGTTGGTTTTGAGGCAAAGCAAAATGGTGTGTAGGGCCATGGAAGGCAAACAAGGGCAAGTGCAGGTGGAAGGATCCCAGCACCCTACTGCTCTGTGGGCATTTCCACAGTGCTCCTATTGGGGCACGAAGCGAGGTGAGCATGGATGACCCAGCAGGAAGCACTCAGCCTTTGGGAAATGCCAACATACAGCAAAGCATGCAATGGGTGCAGCTGCTTTGGAGTGCAGGCGTCCCCCAAAGCCTTTTGGGGTCATCCGTGCCATGACAGCAATAGTCAGAGCCTGGCCCCACGCTGCCCTGGGGGTGACCATCAGCACTGCAGGAGATGGCTGTGCCATGTGTCCCCAGGGGTGTCCTTAGATGTCCCCATGCCGCCCTGGAACTGCGTCGGGGCTTTCCCAAAGCGCCATCCCATTAACGCGCCGTTCGTGGGAGAAGAGCTCAATTTTTCCCATTTAACATTTCATGGATAATTAATTATTCTTCATCTTCCCGGCGCAGAGCAGAAGCAGGTACTGCTGTTCAAAGGCTGGGCGCCGGCGGAAAAGCCAGCCGAAACCCCAGGAAATCAGAGCATTTATTCCTGGCATCAAAGCGAGGGCGGCGCACCGCGGTAATGGGGCCGTGCTGCGGTAATGGGGCCGTGCAGCCCCAGGCACCCACATCACAGTGAGCACCGGGCAAGGGCTCCCACCTCACGTCTCTATAAAGAATGGTGTTCAGCATTTCCTAATCACGACGATTAGTGGGTAAATAATGCCTTATACATCCTTCTATTCTAAATTAATTCCCCTCATTAGCAGGCGTGCCGCGCAGGGTGCCCATAGAAACCCAACCGCAGCACCCGTCCCCAAATCCCACCCTAAATCCACATGCTTGCCTGATCTCCCATCCCATGGGGTGGTGTGGGCACCCGGCCCTAAATCACCGCTATCTCCCAACAGGGAGAAAAAAAGGGAGATGGCAGCCAAATAGTTTATGGGCCATAAATTACATCAGAGGGAAAAAAACAGTGTTCCCCTGCGCTCTGGAGGACTCTGCCCTGTCCCTCCCCCTTGGCTCTGCTCCCAGCTGCAGGAGGACAGGATGGGGACAGACATGGCTGCTCCAGGACAGCCCCGCTGCACTTCCTACGATGCCATTGTCATCGGGGCCGGCATCCAGGGCTCCTTTGCTGCGTACCACCTGGCCCAGCGTCGTAGGGACACATTGCTGCTGGAGCAGGTACTGATGTCCCCAACCTTGCCACGTCCCTGGCCCCAGTGCTGAGTCCCCAGCCCCGATGCAGCAGGACATGGACCTGGCTGCCCTCTGCCCAGGCACGTGACATTCCATGGTGTTCCAGTGCCTGGACGCTGTGTCCTTTAGTGCCAGGACCCTTGTGTCCCCAATGCCAGGGTTCAGGTGTACCCAGTACCAACACCCCAGTGTCCCCAGTACCAGGACCTCCATGTCCCCATTACCATGATCCTGTTGTTGTCAATACCAGCATCCCAGTGTCACCAGTGCCAGGATCCAGGTGCACCAGTACCAACACTCCACGTTCCCCAGAGCCAAAACCCTGGTGTCCCCAGTGCCAACAGTCCAATATCCCCATTGCCCAGGTGTCCCCACTTTCAACACCTTACTGTCCCCAATACCAGCACCCCACTGTCCCCAGTTCCAGGACCCCCACATCCCCAAATCCAGCATCTTCCTGTTCCCAGTGCCAGGACCCCAAGCCTTGTGGGGCTGGGTGACACCTGGAGGCTGCAGCCACCCCACATGTTCCCATCCCCCACAGTTCTTCCTGCCCCACTCACGGGGCAGCTCACACGGGCAGAGCCGCATCACACGCAGTGCGTACCCGGAGCAGCATTATGCCCGCATGATGCCCCACAGCTTCCACCTCTGGCAGCAGCTGGAGGACGAGGCAGGCATTCCACTCTACAGGTGATGGGAACGGGGATCCCACACTGGGCACTGTCCCCTCCCTGGGAATGGGGCTGGGGATGTGGGCAGGCAGCTGCAGGCTGCGGGTTATTTATGGGGCTCCGTAAGGCAAGAACCATTAAGGAAATAAGCGTGTAAATGATTCCTGCAGCGGGGTCAGGGCTAACGTGTCATCCATCATCCCCAGCATCATCCAAGCACTGAGCCTCTGCTCCCCCAACCAAGGGGGTGGCGTGAGAGGGGACATGGGAAATGGGATAGGGGGTGTAGGACATGGGACAGGGGATATGGGACAGGGGATAGGGGATGTGGGATTACGAGTAGGGGATACGGGATATGGGATAGGGGATATGGGATAGGAGGTAGAGGATAGGGGACAAGGAACATGGGATTAAGGATATGGGTTGAGGGATGGGACATCAGGGGACAGGAGATATGGGACATGGGATATGGGACATGGGTGCCACTGATGTGGCCACTGGGTGCAGGCGGACAGGGCTGGTGGTGCTGGGCCCACCAGGTGACCCCAAGCTGGAGGGCTGCCGGCACAGCATGGGGCCCGATGCCGTCCTCGATGCGCTGACGCTGGCGCAGCGCTTCCCTGGGCTCCGTCCCCGTCCCGGCGAGGTGGCCCTGTGGGACAGCAGTGGAGGTGTGCTGCTGGCAAACCGAGCGCTGCAGGCGGTGCAGGTGGGTGACGACACAGGGACAGAGGGATGGGGACATGGAGGGTGTTCCATCTCCACCCCTCCATCCCTTCCTCCCCACACAGGACGCGTTTCGCCGGCGCGGGGGCACTGTGCGCGATGGGGAGAAGGTGCTGCGTATCGATCCCGGAGCAGTGATCACTGTCACCACCACTGCTGGGCTGTACCGCGCTCCCCGGCTCATCATCGCTGCCGGCGCATGGACCAACGCCGTGGTGGCACCTCTGGGCCTCCGCCTGCCACTGCAGGTAAGGGCTGGTGGCCACAGGTGGCGGTATGGCCACGGGCAAGGCTGACATGCAGCCCCCAGCCCCTCCGCATCGATGTGTGCTACTGGAGGGAGAAGGAGCCCGGCAGCGGCGGCGCGGTCACCCCCTGCTTCATGGCCACGGGGCTGCCCTACGCTCCCCATGGGATCTATGGGCTGCCCGCCCTCGAGTACCCCGGGCTGGTCAAGGTGAGTGTGGCACAGTGGTGGTGGCACCGCGATGTCCCTTCCGTTTGCCCCCACTGAGTGCTGTCTCCAGGTGTGCTACCACCACGGCAGCCCCACTGACCCCGAGGAGCGGGACCGGACCCCCCCAGGTTCCCCCCGTCCCCACGTCACCCTCCTGAGCACCTTCATCAGCAGTTACCTGCCTGGGCTGGAGCCGCAGCCGGCTGTGCTGGAGAGCTGCCTCTACACGGTGAGACCGATGTCCCCATTGCCCCCACATTGGGTCCTGGCTGTGCCATAAGCCCTGCTCCCTCACCCCACGGCTCCCCCAGAACACTCCGGATGGAGACTTCATCCTGGACCAGCACCCCAAGTACAGCAATATCATCATCGGGGCCGGCTTCTCGGGTAGGTCCTGGCCCCCCTGGGGTACCTTGGGCATGGCTGTACCCCCAACCCTCTCTTCCCTGCAGGCCATGGGTTCAAACTGGCCCCAGTGGTTGGGCAGCTGCTGTGCGAGCTGAGCCTGGGTGAGGAACCATCCCACTGCATGGCTCCATTCACAATCAGCCGCTTCCCAGGTGTGCTCCGTGCTGCTCTGTAGGTGCAGTGTCACAGCTGTGCCCACGCAGCATCACATTGCCCTGTAGTGCATCCCTGCATCCCAAATACCACCGCCCCCAGCTCCTTGCATCCTAATGTCCTCAAAGCCTGCCAGCCTGGTGTCCTGCATCTCTCCACTACCATACTCCACCACCTAGCACCTCAGCATCCCTGCAGCTGCACCCCCACATCCCAGCATCACCTGTATTCCACATCCCAGCATCCCCAGTATCCTCATTCCCTGCGGTCCTGCATCCTGGCATCCTTATATCCTGGTCCCCTACATCCCACCATCCCAGCACTCTGCTCCCATCCATCCTCACATCCCAACACTCCCGCATCCCTTTATCCTGGTTCCCTGCATTCTTGCATCTTCACATCCTGGCATTCTCATCCCCTGTATCCTCCCATCCCAACACCATCCCTATATCCCGATCCTCTGCATTCTCACACCCTGCCACCTCCACACATTGCTTCCCTGCACTCCCACCGCTCCACACTGTGTGCCAGCCCAGCTCTGCCAAGCAGCCGTACGCTGGAAGCACACGAAGGCGTTTTGCCAGCGCCATGGAGCTGGAGCAGCGCGGGGAGACACACTCGCTTAGGAGTCAAGTTAAATGTTTTAATGTTAAATGTGCCATTTTATTATCATTAGATCGCTCCCACTTAATGAAAGCGCATTAGCGCAGCGTAGCTTTAATGGCGGCGAGCGCCGAGCTCGGCCCATTTGTTTAGAGATGTCAGGGAGAGGGGTAGGAACTGCCTGGTTTGAGGGGGCTGGGGGGTGCAAGGGGCCCCCACGGTGCCAGCACCTGGCAGCAAGCAGAGCCCCATTACGGGAATGGGGATGGCATCGGGCTCATCCCTCCGTGCAGTCCATATCCTCGCTGGGGCCCTGCACGCCACAAAAAACCCACCCTCCAAAACCAATCCCACCCCCCAACCCCAAAATGGGGCATGCAGAGCAGGCATCACCAGCCAGAAATGATGTTTCTTTATTTTTGGATGGAAAGGAATGGGGTAGGAAGGGCTGCACAGCTGTAGTGCAAAACAACCGGTGGGGTGGGGGGCAATGGGGGAGGCGACAGCCCATGGGGGACCCCGTCCCCACGTCTCCTTTGCGGCTGTGGGGCGGCTGGCCCCGAAGCCCGGCCAGGGACGTCTTTGGCTCAACTAAATGGGGATGAGGAGCATGGAGGGGGGTGTCCGGGGGGGTATTTTAACTTACAAAATAAGGAGACAGCAGGCACTGAGGAGGAACCGATGGAGCTGCCGAGGACAGATGGGGTGGGAGAGGTGGGCTGCCCCCCCCTGCACGAGGGATGGGGATGGCAGTGTGTTCCTCCCCCTTTCTTCACCGTGCAAAAAAGAAATAGTGGCTGCCCGGGGGGGTCCCGAGGAGCCCAGCATGTCGGGGCCATGGGAAGGGTGGTGGGGGCTACGCGGGGGTCTCGGCGGTGCGGCTCTCTGTCTCGCCATCGCTGGTGGGGCTGTGGGATGAGCGCTCCGTGCTTTCTGTGGCATCCAGCTCCTCGTCCCATCGGTCGTAGGAGAAGGGTTTCCGGCAGCTCGGGGGGCTGTGGGGAGAAAAAGGGGTTAGGTGCTGAACTGCTGTCCTGACGCATCGAGGCTGCGTTGTCTCCTTGGGTTGTTTGTGAGAAATGGGGCCGTGGTCCTCCTGTTGGGTTGAGGGAGCAGCACTGAGTGGTGGCAATCCCAAAAAACATTGGGTTTGGGTTCAACTGGGTGACTGGCCATGGCTGCACGTCCTGGGTGGAGATGTGTCCCAGCCCTGAACCAGTGTCCAGCAATGTGACAGCCCAGCCAGGGGCTGGGATGGTGATCCAACAGCATTCCCAAGCGATTTTTCCTCCTCCTCCAGCCCTTATCCTACAGAAGCCATGGGAAGCAACCAAACCCACTCACCACTTACTGCCAGGATGCCAGTGAGCTGATTGCAGCCCCATTCCCATACAGACGGGGTGCAGGACTGGAGTAACCACTCCGATAACCATCCGACCCCATCTACTCACCCACATCATCCCACATCCGCACCCCACACTGGGTGCTGTTAGTACCACGTGCTCCTCCCAGAGCCGCAGCCCCATCTGCCCACCCCAAACTTCCATCAGAGATCCATGCAGCCACTCCAGGACGGGATTAGCACTTCTTGGAGTCCAACCCCACGGCACAAGGACGGAGCAGCATTCCCACCACCGTGTGGCCACAGCAGGGATGCTCGGAACGGTGCCTGGGCACGGTTAGGGTTAGTGGCACACACGGGGTCATGCTGCAGGCACACACCGCTCCCACCTCCTGCCTCAGTCGCTCTCAGGCCGGTACAGGTACTTCATCATCAGGCTGTCCACCTGCTTCTTGCGCCGCTTCTCCTCCTTCTTGGCCCGGTCGGGACGCACCGGCTCCTCCCCCCCTGCAGCCCGCGGGCCCTTCTTCACACTGGAGGTGCTCCGATAGGAGACGGTGGAACCGGAGGAGGAATCGGAGGAGGAATCTGAGCCCGACTCGGAGGACGACTTTTTCTTCTTCTTTTTGGATTTCTTTTTGGATTTCTTGGATTTCTTCTTGGCGCTCTTCTTCTTGCGCTCCTCCTCTTCCTCCGAGGAGGAGGACGACTCCGACGAAGAGCTGCTGCGGCGCCGGCCGGAGCGCCGGGATGGACGCGACACCTCGAGGGCGGACGCGGAGCGGCGGAGGCTGCCGGGGCGGTCGGCGGCACCCAGCGGGGCCGCGCTGCGCACACTGCGCACGCTGCGCACGCTGCGCCCGTCGTCCCCGGAATCGGGGCTGGAGAGACCCCCGGCCCGCGGAGAGCGGTAGCTCAGCACCTCCTGGATGGCAGCCTCCAGGTCGGGGTCGAGGTAGGAGCGGTGCCCCACCGGCCGGGCGTCCCCGGGGGGACCGTCCTCGGAGGCGGCGCTGCGGGGTCGCGGGGGCACGGAGAAGCTGCGGCCCAGCGGGGGCTGCCCGCGGGATGCGTCATCCGCCTCATCCAGGAGGCTGCGGGCGAGCGATAGCCGCGAATCGGGGCGACCGTCGGCGCCGCTGCGCCGGCTCCGCAGGCTGCCGGGGCTGGAGAGGGCGAAGCTCAGCACCGAGCATCCCTCGTCCCCTTCGTCTCCATCCTCCGGTGCGCGCCACGAGGCCGACGAGGCTCTGCTCACCGGCGCGGAGGCGACGGAGCCCTTCTCCCCATCGCCAGCCGACAGCGACCAGCGCTTGCCCAGCCCCTGCCGAGCGCGGCCGCTGGCGTCGGCGAAGGCGCGGGCGATGACGGCCGCCCGGTCCTCGTGCTCTGCGCCCCGTGCCCGGCGGGCAGCGCGCTCCGGGGAGGCCGCCCGTTCGCTCAGAGCGCTGAACAGCGTCTGCTCGTCCCCGCGGCCGCCTATGGAGTCCTTCAGGCTCGGCCGCTTCCTATAGCTCAGGCTGCTCAACACCGACACCGGGCGCTCTTCGCCCTCGGGGACATCCGTGGGAGCCGACCTGGGTGGGGGCACGGCGCACACCGCGGGGGTGTGAAGAAAGGGGGGAGAGAAAGGAGTGAGTGCGGGGAACGCGCCGGCACACGGCGGAATTATTGGCGTCAGCGAAAAACAGCTCCATGCAAATGAGGGTATTGTTCCACCCCGTCACTTTGATTCTCCTTTAAAGTGCTCCGTTCAATTTATCTCACTGTCAGCTACCTGCAGCCGCCGCGTTTGATTCCCGACTTCAGAAAACTGGAATTATCTCCAATAACAAAATGTTTTACATCTGCACCGCTGAATAAATTAAACCAATTAAGAGAAAACAGCTCAGATCTTTCCCCCTGCTTGGTAGAAGGCGGGGGAGCCCCCCGGGACGCCCGAATCCCTGCCAGGAAATTGGGTTTGGATGAAAGCAATCTGCACTCATCAGCAGAGAGCTCTCCCTGATGGCTGTGGGACATGAGCGGGGCCGTGTGGTCCCCAGGAGGGCTACAGCACTGGGATGGTGAAGTGGGGATGGAGGTGTGATGGAGGGATGTGGGATGATGGAAGGATGCAGGATGATGGAGAGATGTGGTAGAGCTGCCAGTGAGAAAAGATGGAGTCCATCACTGCTACCCATTTGGGGAGGCTGCACACAGAGCTAGGATGCTGGGGGATCAGGGACATCCCCAAGTGTGTGTGGAGCTGTGGATGTGCCAGCACTTGGGCACATGTGTCTCCAATGGAGACTGAGCTGCTCATCAGATTCACCCTTCTCCTGCCACCATGTGCAATGCCCAGCCCTAGCCACGCTGTTAGCACCCAGACCTGCACCCACCTGCTGCTGCCCTTCAGGCTGCCATCATCTGAGAGTGCTTTGGAGGAGCCTTTGTTCTTGGACAGCCACGACTTCACTCCATCCACACGGTCCTCCAGCTCTGAGTCCACATCCGAGTCACCGTCGCTGGTGGGAGAAAGACAGCAATGAGTACCAGGGATGTGGTGCAGGGATGTGTGACATTGTGCCACCCATCCCTGTCCCTCTGCCCCACTCCATCTCAGGACACTGCATGCTCTGCGACCCCACAGCCCCAAAACCACCCCCAGAAGGATGCAGGGCCACTGGGCTCAGCGCAGCCCTGGCTGTGCACAGCCATATAGCCAGAAAATCAACCACGAGGTGGAGAACCACGCGGGGCACGGCTCCAGAAACATGGGAGATGCCGAGCTCACAGAGAGGAAATAAGTGGGTTCATTTTATAGGCTGCCGTCAAGTGCAGAATTACCACGAGGAAGAGCTATGTTGATGTCCCTGGGTAAACAGGAGTTTAGCAGGCAGAACAGAAACGACTCCGGCACGGCGGGCGCACGGACAGATTTACGGCCCCACCGTGACAGAGAGCCCCTGATTTATGGACAGACATAAAAAAAGCCCTATCTGCCTTAAAACATCTAATTTATAACGGCCGCTGGTAACCATATTGATTGCCTTTAGCGCGAAGGTGCCGTCTGCATTGCAAAATCCATTTCTCCACGTTGAGAGCATCCTGGTGTAAATCTCTGCTAATACCCGACCGCGCGCTGCTCTCATTAGGGAGATGGCGGCGCCTATCAGAAATCGAAGCACCGCGTCCCCCCCTGACCTCACCGGGCTCCCACATCCTAAACGGCTGCTGCTGGGGATGGGTTGGGTAATGCCATCCTAAAGGGCCACTCCATCTGCACGGCCATAGGTTCAGCCCATGCTGGGATGGGCTGTTTATGGTTCCTATATATGAATCCTCCTTGTTGCATTCAAAGCAATGAGCTGCGCTCCATCACGCACGTCTCCCTCCCCTCCAATATATCCAGGCTTTAAAAATAAATGCAATAAAATACCCTCCCTCTCTCTCCCCCCCCAAAAAAAAAGCCCCATAAAACAATCTCTGGGGTGCTGTTAGCTCATGCGAAACTGGGCCAGCAGCATGCAGGGGCCCCGGCCCCAGGGGGGTGAGCAGGGTTAGGGGATGGGGGAGAAGGAAAGAGGAGGTCCTCACAGTTTACTCTTTCTTTTCTGATACTTTGCCACCATGTCCTGCAAACTGGGAGGGGGTGGGTGGGGAGAAACATAACAGAATGAAATCAAATGAAATCAAAATTTAAAAAAAGAAGGAAACCAAGTCAGGAAGGGCGATGAATGGGGAACAAATCAAAGGGGATAAAATGTGATGAGATGGAGAGGGGGAAGGTTTGGCTGCTCTGAGCCCAGGGCTGGGCTGGTTTCCAGCGCCCCGAGACCCCACATTGCCTCTATCCTGGGGTCCCTCAGATGTCCTCAGGATTTGTGGCCAGGGATGTGCCAGCAGGTGAAGCTGTACCAGGCTGCGGGTGGAGGGAGGGGAGGGCAGGTGGGTGGGTGAACAATGCACAGATGGGTGGAATGCATGGGTGCAAGGATGGATGGATGCATGGATGGGTGGGTGAAAGGATGGATGGATGCATGAATGGATGGATGGGTGGGTGGGTGCAAGGATGGATGGATGAATGAATGAATGGATGGACTGATGGGTGCAAGGATGGATGGATGCATGCATGGATTGGTGGATGCATGGGTGCAATGATGAATACATGGATGGATGGATGCAATGGATGCACAGATGGGTGCACAGATGGATGGACAGCATCCTGCCAGGACTGGGCAGAACCAAGGGCCCCCTTGGTGTTTCAGAAGTGGCGAGGAGAAGCAGTGAGCCCAGGTGGCGTGCCCCATGCAGGAGCCAGCTCCAGGCACACTCACCTGTTGATGAGGTCCTCATTGCTGTCGCTCTCCATCTCATCCTCGATGGCAGCCTGCAGGTCCCCGATGCGCTTGAAGGCCAGCTTCAGGTCCGACTGCAGGCTTTGGTTGGCAGCTTCCAGGCTCTCCAGGTCCATCTCCTGTGGGGACAAAGTGGGGTGAGCCTGGGCTGCGGGGAAGGAGAATCCCAATTTGTGGGGACTCAGCAGTGATGCCCTCACCAGCTCGTGCTTCTTTCGGCTGGCCTCCGCCTCCTTCTTGGCCAGCTCGCCCATCTCCTCCTTGACATCACGGAGCTGCCGCTGCAGCCTCTTGTTCTGCTCCTTTTCCCTGTTCTCAGCAGCTGCTCGCTGGTCCCGCTCCTCTGTCAGCTTCTCCATGTTCTCCTTCAGCCGCGTGGCCAGGCTCTGTGGAGCAGTGAGCGTTCTCCCTGAGCTCCATCCATCCATGCACACATGCATCCATCCATGCATTCACCCATCCACAGCTCTGCCCCCCTGCACACCCTCCCACCTGGCAGAAACACCCACCCACCGTGGTCCTCACACCAGGATGGATCCCAGCCCCATGAATTTACATGAGGGGATGGGAAAGAGGTTTGGGGGAATGAAAAACCACCCCCCTGGGGCCAGGGAAGGGGTAGAACAATTGCAGGAGCTTTGGTGAATTGGAAAAATAGATTTAACTTTGTGTGAAGTAATTACAGCATGTAATGTAGGGAAAAAATAGCTTCCATTCTCTGCCAGCCGCCGAGCCAGCCGCTGCATATTTATGGCCCCGGCAGAGAGAGCGGGGAGGGAAATAACAGCTAGGAAAATATTAAGAGGAGAGCTAAGCTGCTCAGTTCCCCTGGCAGAGAGCTGCAAAGGCAGAATATAAAGCAGGCTGCGTTTAGTGGGGTTGGGAGAGTCTATAATTTCACTAAGTCAATGCGGGGAAATAGCAGCACTTTGCCAGGCTGGGTGGTGGATTACGGTTATCAGCGCCCGCGGGAGCGGCACTGTGCAGCATGGGGGGCCCAGGGATGGTGGTGGTCACAGCACTGTGACACTTTCGTGGGGAGTGAGGATGGGTCTGTAAGGGAGATGACAGTGCCCACCTCCAGGCGCTTGACTTGTGTCCGCTCAAACTCCAGCCTGGTCTCCAGCTCACGGATCTTGGCCTCCTGCCTGCTCACCAGTGACTTGTCCACCATGGACTGCTCCAGGAACTCCAGCTGGCTCTGCAGCCCTTGCAGCTGTGGGGAGGCAGCCTCAGCACCAGCATCCTGCCCTCCCCACCCTGCCCTGCTCTGGGAACAGCCCCCATGATGCTGGGGGACCCATAAGGTTTTTAGGTGCTCCCACCTCAGCTTGTGTCCTCACCTTCTCCTGCAGCTCCTGCTTCTCCTTGCTGACCTCCTCCAGCTGTGCCTGGAGGTCGTTCATCTGTGCCAGGTCACGGGATGCCTGCGAGACGAGCTGGGCTGTTAGCGAGGCGGGCAGGGAAGTAGTGTTAAGGGCTGTGGGTGTCCATCCTCACCTGGGCCACTGCTGCTTTGTGCTTCTTCATCAGCTCATTCATGTCCTCCTGGTCTTCCTCCAGGCGGCTCTGCACCTCGTTCTTCTCCCGCTGCAGCCGGCTCAGCTGCTCTTCCAGCTGGGGGGAAAGAACATCACCCACTGCACCACTGCACCCCACCCTGCCCAGCTGAGCCCCCAGGGAAGGGAGCATGGGCAGGGGTCTCCCCATGGTCATGTCCCCCTCTGAGTGGGAAAACCCCCCAAATGCCCTACCGCTGCTTTGGCTTTGGAGAGGTCATCAATCTGCAGGTGGAGGTCTTCAATCTCCACCTCCATGGACTTGCGAGCTTTGACAGCGGCTGCACAGGTGAACTCGGACTCCTCGAGCTGCAGGAGCACAGCTCAGCACCCAGCCAGGGGACAATGGGACACCCCCAGCCTCTTGGGGCCACGCACCTGGTTCTTGAGCTGGGCGATCTCCCTCTTGCTGGGCGCGTTGTTCTTCAGGTGGTCCAGCATGATCTGTGCATCGGCCAGCAGTGCTTTTGTCCTTTTCAGGTCACGGCGTAGGCGCTTCTCTGTCTCGAAGTCCCTCTGGTTGGCCTGCAGCAGAGGGTCCGTGCCATGCTGTGTGCCATGGCAACCCCCCACAGGGTGCCCCGTGCCCTACCTGATCACTGACTGCAGACAGTTTGCTCTCCAGCTCCCGCTTTTCCCTCAGCACCTTCTGCTTGTCTTCATACTCCTCCTCTAGCTGCATCTCCATCTGCTTCAGCTGCAGCAAGAAGCATCATGTCATAGAATCACAGAAAACATAGAACCACAGAATTATAGAACCATAGAACCATAAAATCATAGAATCTAGAACCATAAAATCACAGAGCAGCTGGATTGGAAGTGATCTCAGAGCCCACCCAGCCCCAACCCTCTGCTGTGGGCAGATTGCTACCCATGGGATTGGCCAGTGCCCCATCGTGGCCTCAGGCACCTCCAGGGATGGGGCACCCAAGCTCTGGGCAGTGCCTGTGCTGCAGCTTCACCAACATCTGAGTAAAGAAGTTTCTCCCAGCATCCAGCCTAAACCTTTCCCCTTTTATAGAAATCATAGAATCATTATGGCTTGAAAAGAACACAAAGATCATCAAGTCCAACCACTGATCCATCATCACCACACCCACTACAGCAGGTCACAGCTCATGTCCAGTTTAATGTGACCCTGGGTGAGCCTGGCTGTGGCCATGGCGCCAGCATCCTGTGTGTGCCACCATGTGCCCTGGGGACGCCGATGACCTGCCGGGCCAGACGCGGTGACTCTCATTTGTGCAATGTGCACACGATGCCCAGGACCGGTCGGACCTGCCGGGCTGCTGGAGCTGGGCAGCGGGCGTGTGGGATCCGAGCACTGCGTGACCACGGCCCCGGCATCTCCCAGGATGTATCCCGACCCCCATAGTGCAGCAGGGCCATGGGTAAGGCCTACCTTCTTCTGGCACGACTGCCGGATCTCCTCCACCTCCTCGTCACGGCTCTCCACCTCCTTGGCGTGGGTCTGCCGCAGCCGCTCCATCTCCATCTCAAGGCGCAGCTTGGCCTGAAAAAGGGGGGTCCATGAGAGTCCAGGGGATGTGGGGGCATGAGGACACCGCAGCTTGCCGCCCCGCTCACCCTGAGAACCCCCTGCTCCGGGTCTGCCCGTGCCACCCGCCCCGCCGCAACGTGCCGTGCCATGGCACCAGGGGTTCTGGGAACCAGGCCTGACTGCGCGGTGAGGGCGGCCGCCTCCGCGGGCCCATCCCCGGTAATGAGAGCCCTGCGCGAAACCACCCCGCCCAGAAACCCTCCCCGCCCACCCTACCTGCTCCAGCATCTGGATGGTGCCGGCCTGCTCATCCAGCTCCTCCTCCTGGTCCTTCGCCTTGGCCTCCAGGTCGCGCAGCTGCTTCTTCACCTTGGCGAGAGACGCCTCGTCCTTGGATTCCTGGCAGGAGATGTCCTGTAGCTCTGCCTCCAGCGCCTCCGCCCGCTGCGTCAGCCCGGCGATGTCTGCATCTTTGTCCTGTATTGGGATGGGGACGTGGCGGTGAGACGGTGTGCGTCACGGTGAGCGGAGCGCTGCTGGATGGGGAACCGCTCACCTCCAGCAGCTGCTTGAGGCCGAACACCTCAGCCACCAGCACGTCCTTCTCACGGCTCAGCTTCTCCCGCTGCAGCCTCTCCCTCTGCGCCTCCTCGTGCGCCTGCGACAGCTCTCCATCAAACCTACACGGCGACAGCATGGCACGCTCAGGGACCCCCATCTCCAGCATCCCCCTTTGGCATCAGCTCCCCGTCCCATCCCTGCACAGCCATGGGGGTGTGTGCCTGCAGTTCGGCCTCTCCCAGGATGGGATCAGAGGGGTTTGCTGGGAAATCGCTGCCTCCAGGGCTTGGAAAATTGCCCCGGCTCGGTGACCTGCCTTACGCATCCCGGCGGCTAATCCCCATTTTTCTTTGCGCCGGGTAATAAACAGCTGCATTAGCACAGACTCCAATCCGCGGAAATTGAAATTAATTAGATTGGATTCTCTCGCTGTATTTGTGTTGCGATCATTACCATAATGAGATGAAAGCATCCCCGCTGCTTAATAACGTTAGCAAACTTTGGGGCTGGGAGAGGGGATGGGAAGAGAGCGGAGCTGTGCGGCGCGGCATGAAGGTCCCCCAGCACGGGAAAGGGGTGCCCCCACCCTGAGCACCCCTCATGCCCAAAGCAGAGCGATGGCAGCGCTCTCTGTGTGAAGCACCTCAGCCAAGCTGGTGGGGTGCCCAAACCCCAGCTAAAATGGTAAAAGCACTCTGCAAGAGGCTCTGAAAGCGATGTCACCACACCACCGCCGTGCCGCACAACCCCACCTGCGCTGCTTCTTCTCCAGGTCATGGTTGCGGCCCTGCTGGCCCTCCAGGTGCAGCTTGGTGTCCTGCAGCTCAGCTGCCAGCCGCTGGCACTTCTTCTTCAGCTGCTGCAGCGCCCGCTGGCTTTCCTCACCGTCCGCCTGCAGGTCTGCCAGCTGTGGGCAGGGCAGGCAGGGGGTCAGCGCTGCGGGGTGGGCATGAGGGCACGGTGGGGACCGCGGAGCAGAGTGGCACTCACCCTGCGCTCCAGCTGCCTCTTGCCCTGCTGCTCCACCTCCAGCTTGTCCTCCAGCTCCTGCTGCAGCCGCTTCTTGGTGAAGTCGATCTCCCGCACCGCCCGCTCGTATTTCAGCCGCCACTCGCCGCCTGCACGGGGAAATGGGGGCTGAGCAGGGCGATGCTGCACGGGGCACCCCATGTTGTGCCCACGCTGTGCCCATGCTGGGACGCTACCTGAGTCATCGTCGTCCAGCTCCCCGTTGAGCTCGGCTGCACGGATGAGCCGAGCCTCCATCACCTCCATCTCCATGGACTCCATCTGCTTCTTCAGAGCATCGTACTTGGCCTGGGGAGGGGACACGGTGAGCCTCACAGGGATGTGGGGTGGCAGCGGGGGTGGGCAGGGGCACGGTTGGATACCTGCAGGTCCTTCATTTCTTTCTCAGCACGCAGCCTCTCGGCCGTCTCGGCGTCCAGCAGCTGCGAGGCTGACTCGCCTGTATTGCGTTCGTCCGTCAGCTCCGATGTCAGCTCCGTGATCTGGGGACAGCAGGGATGTGGCAGCAGCAGGGGGGGCACGGCAGCACACTGTACCCATTGCAGGGCTGGGACCTACCCTGCTCTCCAGACGGTCGCTGTTGAGCCGCAGCTCGTTGCGCTCCTTCTCCACTTTCTCAAGTTTGCTCTTCAGCTGCTGGATCTCTTCCTGCAACAGAGCGGCGAGGGAGGGGATGGGGCTGGCAGCACCCCCAGCTCCCCCCGCATGGGGCGGGCAGCATGGGGGCTCCCCCTGCCAAGGGCTGGGCAGGGACTTTCCCAGCACGACTCCAACCCCATAAATGGTACCGAAATGCCTGGCAGCCTCCAGAGGAGAGGGGTCTGTGAGCCCCCACAGGAGAGGGATGGGAGTAGGAGGGGACCCTGCAGCCCTCAGCTCAGACACCATCTCAGTGGGTCAGGGTGAAAGCTGAGCCAGGCAGTGGCTCTGTGCCAGGTGGGGGCACGGTGTCTGGTTCCCCCCTGCGCACGCCTCTTGGCGCACGGTTTCATTTCCATTCTCCACGCCTGTAATTGGGCTCTTGCAACAGCCGGCTCTTGGGATGCTAATGACATGCTGATTCACAAATTAGGGAGCAATTCGAGCCTGTTGCTGGGGGGCATGGGGTGTCCTGCATCTCACCTAGCATGGGGTCCTTTCACCATAGTGTCCTTCATCCACCATGGGATCCTCTATCCACCATGGGGTCCTTCATTTACCACGGGATTTTGCATCCCACCCACTACAGGTTCCTATATCCACCATGGGGTGGTCATACATCCACCACGGGGTCCCACATCTACCATGGGGTCATGCATCTCACCTACTGTAGGGTCCTGCATCCAACACAGGGTCCCACATCCCACCTCATTGCTCTGCCCATCACCAACCCTCCCCCATCCCCGCGGCACGGTGATACCCACGTCCTTGCCACGGATCTGCTCCTCAGTGAGCTGCACCTCGATGAGGGGCCTCACGGTGGTGAAGAGCTTCCACCAGGGCCAGTCCTTCACCCCTTTGTTCTTCTTGATGTTCTTCTGCACGCAGCGGATGGCCAAATCCTGGATCTGCACCGGGACACGGCGTCAGCTCTGGGATACCACCGGCTGACTAGGATGAGTGGGTGCTCAGCACTCTGGCACACTCCCCTTCATTATCAAGCGGGCTAATTGCCCCTGGCTTATCTATCCAATTGCCTCCAGCACCGAGGTGCTGCAGCAATGCCTATTTTAGGCAGTCTTTAATTATAAAGTGGGAGCTGGCACCACTGCCCCATCCCGGCACCGTGGGGCAGCATCAAGCCCACAGCCCCACAGCCGGCCCCACAGTCGGCCCCACAACTCCCCACAGCTCAGTGGAGGCGGGAGGGGGAGGCGCTGGGCCAGGCGGCAGCAGAAAGGCTGCGCTGCCCATTTTAGGCGAAATTGTGCGCAGAGGAGCGGGGAGGGGAGAAGCACTACGAACCTTCCTCTTCTTGAAGTGCTGCCGTGCCAGGAAGCCCCTGCACGCTGCCTGGAACAGGGTGATGTTCCTGCTGGTCTGCGCGTCCCGCTGCTCCTCCAGCCTGGCCAGTGAGCCAGCACGGAAAAACACCTGGAGGGGGGAGCACAGTGAGATGCCAGCATCCCTCCGGTGTCACACCAATGGGAACGGGGTGCTCTCCCCTCGTCCCCAGCCCCGTGGCCCTCATCCCAGTGTGGGTGGCCCTGTGTGGGGCTTTTGTTCCCTGAGGAATGGCGTAGGGGGAGCGCACAGTGCTGCCCTTGTGCCAGGCACCCGCCCCTGCCCTGTCCACAGAGAGCAAGGATGTCCCTGCAGGGCTCCTACCCGGCTCAGACCCATGTGATAGCTGCTCTTCTCCAGGTCCAGTGACTCCAGGAGCTCCTCGACTGCCTGTGGGGAAGGAGAAGTGTGGGACACGGGGTGTGGGATGCGAGATGTGGGGGTGCAAGGCTGCATACCCGCTTCTCATCCACCACGATGTAGTTGCGGCCATGCTTCTTGGTGAGGTGTGGGGCCAGCACGTCAAAGCGCCGCCGGAACTCAGCAAACACCATATGGTCAGGGTAGCCTGGAGTGGGGAGAGCAGAGCCATGGGGCAGCTATGGGGCAGCCAGAACACCTGGGGGATGGCCAGGCACATCCCAGTGCCCTTTCCTTTGTTTGCTCCTTGCATGGAACGAGGCTTTCCTTGGCTGCGTTGAACAATTTTGGCCAAGATCTGGGGAGAAAGCAGCCTCGGGGGAGAGCAGAGACACGTGTGTCACCCGCAGCCTGGGAGAGCTGCCAGCAGCCAGGCTGCCGGTGCGCAGACACCCAAGTAAGGCCATGTGTGTCCCCAGTGTGACAACAGCTGGTGGGAGGACACTGGCAGCAGCACTGCTCCGAGCGAAGCTTGTGCCAAAGGGGATCCCCAGGGGGACCCGAGAAGAACGCATGGGGATCTGACCCGCAGGGGGGGCTCTCACCTTGTCGGTACATGCGGAGGGCATCGAGCAGCCGGGAGCCGCGGAGCTGAGCGCGCAGCAGGGGCACATCCAGCTGCATCAGCCCCGCGGGCTCGCAGTGCTCGGCCGGCAGCTCCAGCTCACTGCCGCTCACCCGGCGGCATGGCAGCCCCCGGGCGTCCCCACCGCTCCCCGCCGCTTTGGGTAGGAAGCAGTGCACAAAGTGCAGCTTGGATTTCTTGATGCTGTCGATGAGGGCATCCTATGGGGACAGGAAAGCAGTGACACGGGACGGCGCTGCTGGGGTCCCACACCCGTGCCGTTGCGGGTACCCAAAGCAGGGTGACAGGATGCACAAAGCATGGTGGTGTGATCCCGCAGCCCGGCGTCCCCTGCTCACCACTTGCAGCTTGACTTGGATGCACAGTGATTTCTTCTTGACTGCGGCCACCCCAGTGGTGAAGGTTTTTCGCATGCTGGTGGCCCGGCGCAGGGCCAGCTGTGAGCCCCCCTCCAGCCCTGCCACCGAGCCTGACAGCACCAGCGCCGAGCTGCCGCGCCCCGCAAACAGGCTGCTGATGATCTTCCTGGGGGGTACAAAGGCATCGTCACCCCCAAAACCACCTCCTCCAGATCGCCCCCTGCTCCGCGCCCCCAAACTGGGGACCCTGCTCACTTCTGTGACTCCTGAAGCAGCACGGAGGCGTTCTGGGTGGCCGGGTTGTGCTTGACGTGGTTGAGCCAGCCCGTGGCATCATAGTGCACCCAGTTGGTGCCCGAGCTGTGGCCCAAGAAGAAGTGCCGGGGTTTGTCGCTGGGCAGCAGCGGGTCATGCCCTGCAGGGACACAAGGCACTGCTGGGCACAGGGACCACGGGTGGCTTGATCAACACATCCAGGCGGTGTTGAACCCCATCCTAACCTTTCTTGCTCCCCTCCTGGGGGCCATAGTAGGCCAAGAGACGTTCCAGCAAGGTGTCCTCGCTGCCGCCTGGCTGCAGGGCCTCCTCCTCCAGCAGCCACAGCAGCCCCCGTGCCTCATCAGTGCGCGCCAGTGAGCGGACCTGTGGGTGACACTGCACTTACACCAGAATCTGAACGCCAGAGGGGATGGGGGAGAGTGGAGGGAAATCTGGGCTGCGTGCAACACAAGCAGCAAAGCAACTCTGCACCATGTGAGGCATCCCTTGCTCAGTGAACACCCAGTGAAGAAAGGCAATAGGCAATGCAACTACCTTGCTGGGGAGCAAAATAATGCACTCAGGTAAGTTAAAAGCCAGTGTGGAGCCAGCACCATCAGCCTCGCTTGGTTTCTGCAGCCCCATCCAGCACCGGAACGCCCTAGGGACTGATGCACCCCAGGGAGCAAAGCAGCCCAGGGATTAAAGCACCTTGGGGAAAGGGTACCCCAGGGAGCAGAGCACCCCAAGGACCTGTGCACCTTGGGAACTGGAGCACTTCAGGGATTAAAGCACTCTGGGGACAGGAGCCCAGGACTGGTGTGCCCCATGGACCGGAGCATCCCAGCGATTAAAGCACCCTGGTGACCACAGTACCCAAAGGATGGATGCACTCTGGGGACCGGAGCACCCTGAGGACCACCAGAGACCCCTGCCATCCTCCCTGCAGCCTGCTGCACACATGCAGCCTAACTCTCTTTCCCAAGCCTTCAGGAAAGCATCTTATATCACCTTTTCTTCCCCTCATTAGCACTAATGCCTCCAGCTCCTCATCCACGCTATGGGAGCAGGTCTGGGGGATGGAGATGGCCACAGCAAAGCTGGGACCCAGCTGGGATGGTGGCCATGAGGAATGTGGGTGCTTACCAGAGCCTGGTGGGAGGGCTGGTCTACAGCAGCTATAGAGCCCCAGGAAGTTGGCTCTGTGTCAGCCAGAGCGAGCTCGATGTTTTCCTGGAGAGGACGGACAGAGAAGCTGTTAAAGCCTGTGTGACTGCAGACCAGCATTAGGGATGCTCGGGTCTCAGTTCATTTGGATCAAGGCTGAGGGAGTTCCCACTGCCCTGCTACTCTGCACTGTGGGAGCCCCTATGGAAAACCCCATGGTGCAAAGAGACAGTGTCAGAGCTGCCTGGATTTGACTCGGTCTGGAGTGACCTCTGGTTAGTCAGTTTGGGAAATAAGGGGGATCACAGGGACTTGACAATGCTGGAACAGAAAGAAAAGGAGAGGAGGGGGTCCTGGTGGCCAGAGGGTCCCTGCTACCTCCTTGTAGCGCTCCAGCTCCTGGGCGAAGGTGCGCTGGTGGAAGAGGAGCTGCAGGCGCTCCTGGGCGTAGTTGTGGCACAGCTCCTCAAAGGTGGCCCCTCGGCTCTGCCCCACCACCTCGGGGTTCTGTGCCCCAGGGGTGTCCACCACCGTCACCGAGCACACGGAGTGCTGGCTTGACTTGAGTGCCCTGCAGGGGACAGCAGGTTGGATGTGTGGATGGATGAATACTGCCAGACTCCCAGACCCCTCAAAACCCCACTCTATACCTATTAAGCAGGGAGATAAGCAGGGTGAAGAGCTCCGAGTACAAGCCCGCAGCCATGCCCTCCAGGCACTCCAGCGCCGTCAGCTTGGAACCTGCAGGAGGGGACCGCTGTGCCCTGAGCATCCCTGGCCATATGCCCCCCAGGGCTGCCTGCACCCTACCTGTGCCATCACCCATGCCCGGCTCCTCGGGGCCCTGTCGGAAGGAGGTGGAACGCTGCAGGCTGCCCTTGGGCTGGTGCTTGAAGATGGAGGAGGAGAGCTCCTCCAGGCTGCAGCCCAGCAGGTAGGCGGCTTTCTGAGCCCACTCGTGTCGTGCAAACTGCTTTCTGCCAGCTAAAGAGGAGAAAGAGAAGCTCAGCACTGGTTGTCACACGTGTGGGGCTATACCCAATGGTCACAGGGTTCCCCATGGTGGGTTGGGGTCAGGGGTGGCATGTGAAAGCCATTCCTGAGGTGGCATTTTGGGGCTCAATTAGAGGAGATGAGGATAAGGAGCTTTTTCCCTCTGCAAGGCAGAGCCACGATGGGGACACGGGGACAGCCCTCTCCATTGCTACCACCCACAGAGCCCTGAGATGGCACAGGGCACTGAGCTGCCCTGGTCTGGGGACATGGCCCTGCTCGGCCACCATGATGTGGCAGGACAGACAGATGGGCACACAGATGCAGGGAGGTGGGAGCAGGTTAATGGTGACACAACAGAGGGAAGGCGGTGGCACAGGGGATGGGGAAGGCAGAGGCACGCGGAGAACAGGACATTACCTTCGTCGGCGTCTGCATTGCAAAAGGGCAGCATGCACCATGCAAACAGAGACAGGGGTTAGAAACAACGGCACGGCACAGCGCGGGCACGCAGCATAGGGATGCCCAAACCTGTGCCAAACTCCAAACCAGGATGTGGGGATGGTCCTCCTGACCAGGTTTTGGAGCACTCCCCACAAGCAGAACGTAGGGATGCTGCCCATAACTGGGATTTGGAGATATCCCCAGCCCCATGCAGGGGCTTCCACACCACCCTTGCATCCTCACAGCAGTGCTGCGGTGGGGTCCTACTGCCCTCTAGTGCCTCAAAACACCCTGAGGACAGTGCAGTGTCCTTCAAACCCTTCCAAAACACAGTGCAAATGGGGCCCTCCCCAAATTCCTTTCTCATTTTTCTCCCCCCGAGCTGCAAAATCCCTTGGTCCAAACTCTCCTGCAAGCGCAAAAGCAGCAAGGGAGGCTTTCAGCACCTTGAAGGTGACACAAGATCCCATGGGGAGAAGAGCAGCCACAGAGGCAACCTGCGCCCTGTAAGCCAACCTGAGCCAAATTTCCTTCCCTCAGCAAAGGAGAGGAGAACTGTCAGGGCAAGCCCAGGTGCCAAGAGGACCGGGCTGGAACACCCAGCAGACCCGAGCTCAGCTAATTAACGCATCCTGGCCCCAAGCAATTTGTTACCTTTGGTGGCTCCAGCAGCCCCCAGGTGGTAGATGGCCCCGAGGACCAGCCAGAAGGCTTTTTGCTCATCACTGGAGATGCCCATCACCTTCATGGCAGCTTGCAGCTTGTTGAACTGCTGGGTGGCCTTCTGTTTCTCCTCTGGCTGCAAGGAGCAAAGAGAGCCATTGGCACATGGTGCAATCTCTCTGCCCAGGTGGACAGGGCCACCCCATCTCTCCCCACGTCCCCTGCCCCACTGCAGCCCCCACCCAGACCAACAGCACACAGGACCTTGGCAAGGGGCATGATGCCAAAGACGTTGTTCTCCGCCAGGTGGTTGAAGTGCAGCTCAGTCCTGTTGGAAGAAAACCCCCAGGTTGGTCCCCGTGGAGGTAGGAGCCCCCTGAGCTCCCATCAGGGCTGCACTCACCGCAGGGTGCTGTCAGAGCAGGCCAGCAGGTAGTAGAAAACATTGAAGGTGGCCTCGTTGGCTGGACGCCGGGCAACACGCAGCTTTTCCAGCAGCAGCGTCTGGGAGACAGGGGGAGGATCGGGAACCATCCCTGGGGGACACATTCCCACCAAGACCCCCAGCCCCATCCTGGGCCTTGCTGTCAGCCCTGGGTCCCCATGATGGCACAGAGGTCTCTGTGCCCTCTGTCAGAAGACACTGCTTAATACAAAGATCTGAGTGAGCCATGAGTATCTCTCCTGGTGCTGCTGAGCGTGCCTGACATGTACCTGTTACCCCTGGAGCTGCCATTTTAAGGGCTGCACACCAGGAGACAGACCCCCTGGTATCAGCGCAATCCAGCCAGCAAAGGGAGCCAAACCAATCTGTGCTCTGCCCTCCAACTGCCCATGTGCAACAGGACGCAAAGACGTGAGCACAGTGTGGCTGCAACCACAGTGAGGCTGTGGGTCTGCAGAGATCGTAGAGAAAATCCCCGTGGGATGGAGCAACTCTGGTGCCCGGGGGGCTGTGCAGCCCCTCACCTGTATGGAGGCGGATGCCACCTGCCCAGCCTGGTCGAAATCCAGGGAGATGATCTGGGAGAAGCGCGTGGCATTGCCGTTCATGCTGGTGCTGCTATTGCCAAAAGCCTCCAGGACGGTGTAGAGCGCCTGCCACTTCTCCGCTGCGGGAAGACAAGCGGGGCGGTGCGGTGTGCGGGGCTGGCAGCGTGAGAAAGCGAGAGAGCAGCGCGCCGTGAGCGCAAAGCATGCGAGGGGACTCACCGGAGAAGACCTTGCCGGTGCTGCCGGCGATGGTGGCAAGGTACTGGACGAGGTGCTGGCAGTTGGTGGTCTTGCCACTGCCGCTGGCACCCAGCAGCACCACCGCCTGGTCCTGGCGGCCCATCAGCATGCTGCGGTAGGCGGCCTGCGCCACGGCGTAGATGTGCGGGGACGTGTCCTCCCTGCGGCACCCCTTGAACATGTGCATCACCTGCGGGGATGGCACTCAGCACCCTGACCCCAAACAGCGGCGGCTCTGCAAGGTGACATGTCCCCGTTTCCCCCCATTCCAGCGTCACCTTCTCAGAGTACATGGAGGGGGAGCTCAGCGGGTTGATGACCACCATGGCGGGGCCGGCGTAGGTGTGGATGAGGTTGCTGCCGTAGCGCTGCCGCAGCGTGTGCAGGACGCTGGACTCGTTGAGGTAGAGGAGGCTGGCGAGGTCCTCCACGCGCTCACAGGACGGCGGGTTCGCCTGGCAGCGAGGAGGGGGTCAGGAGAGGAACTGGGGTCCCCACTGCCCCACAGCCCCCCCATCCCACAGCCTTACCTTCTCCACATCGTCCTCCTCCACCTCCAGGACAGCTCCGTCATGGTCCAGCTTCACCTTCACCTTGCCCTCGGGCAGGGCGCTGGGCTCCTCCGGCCGCAGCTGGCTGCCTGTGGGGGCACGGGATTCAGTGGGGTCCCGAAAGCCCCCCATGCCCCAGCCAGCCCCCGACTCACCCAAGGAAAAGCCATCCTTGTGCACCAGCCACACCTTGTCGGTCTCATACCAAGCCTCCTCAGCAGCGATTTGCTCCTCTGTCTTGGCCTGAGGGACAGAGGGACAAAGGGGCTGGAGGGAGCCCAAACCCACATGACACCCCACTGCCCCAGGAATCCCCTGGCTGCGATTGGAGCCCCAGGTCCCTGCCGTGGATGGGACAGACATGAAGTCACAGTGACTTCAGGGTGCATTCATCACGGTCACCCCAGTTCCCAAACTGCAGCCCCATGCTGGGACACAGGGACACATGGTGTACCATGGGACAAGGCATGCTGCAGAGACACAGGACACGGCACACTGGTGGCCATCCCACAGGTGTGGGAAAGGCCGGGCTGGCACTTTGGGGACATCGCTGCTATCTGCTAGCAGGGCGAGCCCCAAAGACAAACCTGAGCTGCAGCAGGGCTGGGGCCGACGGGGGCTGAGGGAGCATCGTCTGCTTGTCCCTATTGGGGCCAACAGATGGGGAGTGAGGGTAAGAAGGGGCACACTGCCCTGCTGCCAGCATGGGGGAAGCAAACAGAGCCTGGTGGCGCAGCACAGCCACCCCAAAGCCCCCGGGCATGGGGCCAGAGCTTGGCCACAGCGGTGCTGGGGACACATGGAGCTGGGGTGCACAGTGACCATGAGGCTGCCGAGCAGGTGCAGGCAGGCGCACTACTGGGGATGGTGCTGCATGCTGGGACATGCAGGAAAGCAGGGTGCCTTCCTGACCCCTCTGTGGTGGGGAAAGCCTTACGCTCCAGCACGAGGCGCGGGCGCAGATGCCGGCCCAGTGGCACACAGAAGACAGCGGGAGGGCGGCGGGGGCAGAGAGCTGCTGAGGACGGGGGTACGGTACCTGGCTGGGGGCTGAGGCGGCGGGGTCCAGCTGGCAGCAGTGAGAGAGGAGGAGAGAAAGAAGAGAGGGGTGAGAGGCAGAGAGCAGAGCCGGCACAGCCGCGTGATGCACGCAGGGATGGTGACATGGCACAGTGGCTCCCAAGGCCATGTGCACTGCTCAGGGTGGCGATTGCCAAACCTGCTGCCTGCAGCCAGCAGCACCCAGTGTGGCACCATGGGGCCAGTGGCCAAATCTGGGGGTGCGAAAGCCCCATGCGAGCGCACGCTGAGGACGGGATAACATTCCCATCCCTACCCCTAACCCTAAGCCCATCCTGCACAGCACAGGGCCGTGCTTGAGCATCAAACCCCTCCACCCGAATTACAGAAGCAGAGAAGATCCTCTCCAGCCGGCGCTGGGCCTCCTCCGATGGGCTCAGCCGGGGCGTGGGGCCGGGCGCAGCCTGGAGGCAGAGCACCATTAGCAGCGGGCAGCCGCCCTGCAGCCCTTGCTGGTGGCACAGAGGACATCACCAGCATATGCTCAGCCCTACAGCCCACCGGGACCAACAGTGTCCCGACAGTGGGACACCCACAGCACCCAGCACCGCCCCGGGCAGCCCTGCAGGGCACATGGCACTGCAAACCCCACTCCCACACACCTGCTGGGGGGGTCCCGGGGCGGTTTTTGCTGGGGTCGGTCGCTTCTCACCAGGCTGCTGCTTCTTCTCGGCATGAGCACGACGGGGAGATAAGGGGCAATGTGACGGGGTGCACCCCAAATAACATCCCCACGTGTCACCGCACACCCCGCATACCCCAAAACCACTGCACGCCATGCGGGTGAGCTCACACCATGCTCTGCCACACAGGTTAGGGCACCCATGCTGTATGCACACGAGCTACCTTGTGCCTCTCCAGGGCGGTGGGTTTCGGGGCGGACGCCTTTGCTGGCTCCGCTTTCCCTCCCGAAGGCCGTGCTGGAGGCTCTGGTGTGGCTTTGGCACCCGGGGACACAGCCGGCTTTGCATCGCCCGCAGCCGGCTCAGGGGACTTCTCCTCCCGCCTGTCCCCCGGCCGGACCCGTGCCCGGTGCTCTTTGGTTTTCCCCTTGGCCATGAGGGTTGTGAGCCCCGCTGAGATCTCATCTCTGGGCTCCGGCTTGGCGGGAGCGGATGGTTTGGCCGGGGGCGGTGGAGGGGGTGGCGCGGGGGGGACCATCTCCTCCTTTCTGGGGGGCGGCACGGGCTCGGGGGGCTTCACCTCACCAGCATCATCGCCAGGCAGGACTTTGCGCACCACCTTCCGCACCACCCGCACCACTCTGCGGCGGGACAGCCCCTGCCCGTCATCCCCCTGCGCATCGCCGCCCGCCCCGGGACCCTCAGGCCCATTGGTGGCCCCGTTCAGCACCGGCTCCGGGCTCTTTGCGCTCCCTGCGGGTGGCTCGGGGCTCTTCGGGGGGTCGGGCTTTGGGGTTGCGGGTGCCGCATCCTTCGCAGTGTTTGGGCTTGGGCTCTCTGGCTGCAGCCACGAAGACAGCAGGGGATTAGCGGGGGTCGGACAGAGCACTGCCCACCAGGACAAGGGGTCCCTGCCCACCCTACAGCTCCGAGGGGAGGGCGCAATGCTGACCTCCCTGTCCCCACACCCAGGAGCCCGTCAACCCCTGAGCTGCAAGTATGGGGCAAAAACTCATTGTGCTCAGCCCACTCTTACTGCAATGCATGGGGCAACCTGCAAGACATCCCCTTCTGACAATTATGGCAGCTGCTGCATTAACTCAGAGCAAGCACTGAACCTCTGTCCTGCCAGACTCTGTGGGGCAGGGACCACCACCAAAAGCACCCACAACCCCACATGCTGCCCCAGAGCAGCTGCAGGAGGGGGACTTGCTCAAAGGTGTGCCCCAGCCAAGGGCGAGCCCTAAGCCAGCCCTGTGCGCCCTGCCCCACACCCTGCAGCACTTACAGCCCCGTCCTCCTTCCCGGGTCTTTTCACAGCTAAGGCTTTGTCCTCGTCCTTAACCTGAGGGTCACAAAGGAGAGGGGAGTGTTTCAGCCCTCGAAGGTGCACTGTGGGGGACAGCACATGGCCCCTCATTGTGGCACTTTGGTGGGAGAGGGGGTGCAAAGCCTCAGCACAGAAATCTGCAGGATGGAGGGAGTGGAGGGTGAAAGGCACAGCCTGGTTACAGCAAGCCCAAAGCAGGAGGGCTGTGCTGCAGCTGGAGAGCGGGGCGACTGATAGAGCCCCTTCACATCCCTGGTTGTGTTAGAGAGTAAGTTAGCGCTGGCAAAGTGTTAGGGGTCATGTTAGGGGGTGCCTCAGTGCTGGGGGAGTTCCGGCCCCAGGAGCACTGCCATGGGTGTGATGGATGCTGGGGGGCAGTGCGGGGTGCGAGCAACCACGAGCAACACTTCCCTTCTGCTCCCAGAACGCAAAGCGGGACGAGAAGGCCATGGCGATGTCTCATGGAGCCGCGGCCCTGGCTGGGGGAAAGAGGCAGAAGTGAGCGGGATGGGGCTGGGGACCCGGGGACCCTGAGCTGAGCCGGCCCTGTCCATAGGGAGCGCCTGGGGATGGGAACTCATTCTGCAAAAAAAGCCGCTTCGCTCACCCCCCAGCGCTGCACACAGCGCTGCAGCCCATGGCTGTAAGCAGATGCCGGGGTGAGCGCAGGGATATTTCTGCCCCGCGCACGCGCTCCGCACATCAGGGGTTATTCTGAGCCCAGCCCCATGCCAGCAGCCGGGCAGCCCCCAAAGGGTCCCACCGCCCCCACACAGCACCGCACCCCAACACCCAGCGGGGCCGACGCGGCTCTGCCCATCGGGGCGCCGCAAAGAACTGCCCCAAAGCATGGAGGACCGCCCTGACCCATGCGGGACAGCAGCACCCTCATCTCAGCACCTGGGCCCCCTCCCACCCTCCTGAGCACAGCACTCCGGGCACAGAGGCCCCCTAACCCTCTTCTCTCCCCACGTCCCCTCTCCAAGTGGTCCCGACAACAGGGTTCCCTCCCAGAAGCGGCCCCCGCTGCTGCCTCCACCCCGCTAAGGGAGTGCCCCCCCCCACTGCCCCGAGCTCCCCACCTTACCGCGGGGATACAGGGGGTGAGCGCGGCGCGAGGCGGTGGGTGAGGCTGGCGGTGGTGCGGGGACAGCTGGGCTGATAGGGCCACCCTAAAAATAGCCAAGGAATGCGAGGGCCCCGGCGGCGCGCGCAGCAGGCGGAGGGCGCACGGAGGGGGGGGACAGGAGGGCAGCGGGGCCTCTCCCCCGCTGCTGGAGGAAGTGATGTGGGCCCTGAGGCTGCTCGGGAAGCGTCCGGCCCCCGTCCCACTGCCCGCCCCTACAGTGCTGTGTTGAAGATCCTCATGGCACCACATCGGGATGGCCTCGAGGAGTAATGCTGGGGACGGAGAGCCCTGAGCCCCGCAGGGTGGCACGGAGGGTTGTCCTCGTGCCAAACCGAGCTGATCCCGGCACCACAGCACCAGTGAAAGTGCCCCAAACCGTGACAGGATGCACAATGGAGACGGCAAAACCAGGCATTGGGATGCCAGGAGGTATCACAGTAGTTCCTGTCCACCCTGGACATCAGATGTGCCCTGAGCCAAAACCACTGGTGCAGGAGACAGGCAGATCAGAGCCACTTATGGGGTGAACGCCCCCATCCCATGGCTGCCGCAAACCCTCTCCATACACCTTTCTGGGTCATGCATTGGGGATGGCGATAGGGGTGGCACAGCAGAGCATGTCAGCAGTGACATTGCTCTCCTCGGTGGCCGCCACGCTGTTATCAGCCAAAAGGTCATGGCCTGTCCTCTGACAGTGGGACTGGGCTCTGACATCTGTCTGGAAGTCGGTGCTGGTGCCTATGGGCTGCGTCTGCCTCATAGGAACCCACAGCCCAGCCACAATGCACCAACCCTACGGCCAAGGCACGGCACCAGTCCCGTCCCCGGGGTCTTTTGGGGACCCCTGCAGTGGGGACAGCACTGTCCCCGTAGCAAAGACAGAATAAATGGTAAATGAGGAGCTTTTCAGGGAGGACGCAAGGAAATAAGGAGGAAGCACTTCTGGACATGGGTGCCCAAAGGCGGTGAGGGTACACGGGGTGCGTCGGCAGGGCCACGGATGCTTGTGGTCTGGCCGGATCGGGTGCGTTTCTGGAATATTTCTGCCCCACCAGAGCTGGACGGCGCATGCCTGCACCCTGCCTGAGGAATTTCACTGGCAAATAAATAAATAGGAGCCTGGAGCTGAGCCAGAGTGGTTGCCCAGCACCCAGAGCATGGCTGGCACCCCATAGCACAATGGGGTCTGCCCAGAGCCCCCCCAGGCATCACAGCCAGTGCCTCCTGTTCCTGGTCCCCACCATGGGAGTGGGCAGTGGGATGAGAGTGGCTCCTGGGTCCCTCCGTGGAGGGGTTAAACCCCACCACCTTCCCCGCTTCAGCCGGGGAGGGGCTACTGGAGCAACAGCCCAAAATATGTCTATAATTTCCTGTTTCAAAAAGGATCATTTTTATTTAAATTAGGACCAGAAACATTCCAGGGAGCTTAGCTGGGCCTGGGGGAGCATTGGGCCTCCCTGTGTGCACCAGCACCTTGCACAGCCTCAGTGGGAGAGGGACACTCTGGATGTGCCCATCCTGACCCCTGGCACCGCGGGTGGCACCTGCAAAGCAGCGGTGTGTCCCTGGTATCCTCACTGCAGGACGAGGGACCCCACAGAGCTGCAGCTGCCAGGGAGGACACAGAACAGACTGGTGCAGAGCAGTGTGGACAGGGGGTGCCCATGCCCCGAGCTGGAGGAAAGGGCTGGGAAACACGGGGCACTGCTTGGAGCCCACAGAGCACAGTGCTGGCTGCAGCCCAGAGCCCGCCCCGGCTGCGCGGCATATCCTGCAGATAAGCAGCCATCTGTGGTCAGCGCACAGGACGGCTCCTTTCCAGGAACTGCTTCTGCCACGATTTATGCCTTAACCCCCTGCAGGCACCGACCCTGCAGCACCAGGCTCAGCTTGGTGCCTGCTAAATGGGAAGAACTCTGCTGCCTGCAAGCGCTCACCATGCCAGCACCCACCGTGAGGCCACGTGCCACGCTTCTCCCTGCACCCCACACTCCAAGGGCACAGTGTTTCTTCCTCCCCCATCCCAGCCTGAGCACCATGCTCTCACTGCCACCGGCACATTGCCAGCCCCTACCCGTTGGCAGCAACTGTGCGCCCTCACCAAGCTGGCGTGCTGCAGCATGGGGTGCCCCACAGCTCTGCATCACAGCCCACTGTGTGTGGGGTCCAGCTCTGTAGGATCACAGCGTCCCAGGATGCCTAATGCCCACAGCAAGGTCAACGGAGCCGGCAGCACACGGGGAAGATGTGGGTCACCCAGCCATTGAGTTTCTATTTATACAGCACCGACCGCACAGGCTGGGCTGTGCAAACCCTCTGCAGCTCCCTGTCCTGCACCATTCCCATGAGACCTGGGGTTACAGCACGGAGAGGTTCCTAGACTCCCGTCCTCTCACCCAGTGGGAAACAAAAGGATTTTCCCCGTACTCCTCCGTAGGAAGGGAGGTGAGCAGTGCAGAGGGAGGCAATGGGAAGATCTGCAGCACACGCTGCTTCCCACACCCTGTGCCAACCCAGACACCTGCAGTGGGGACACCAGTACTCACATCCCATGCGGCACGGCGCGTCCCCTCGGCGCCCCGCAGCCAGCAGCAGCTCAGCTCGCTCAGCTCCAGGATGGGCTGCACCTTCAGCTGCACCGTCTCACCGGACTGCCGGATCATCTCCACGATCTCATCCCGTGTTTTGTTCTCCACGTTTTTCCCATTGATCTCCACCAAGCGATCGCCCGGCACCAATCCCAGTGCCAAATCCTTGGTGCCGGCGCCAGGTTCAGCAAAATGCACGACGCGGCGGTACACCTGGCCATCAGGGGCACAGTCCAGCATGGTGGTGCGGCGCAGCGAGAAGCCAAAATCGCCGGTATTGCGTCTCTGCAGCTCCAGCTGCCGAGGTGCTGGAGGCTGTGGGGGCACCAGGGCGGGCAGGCGCAGCTCTGCAGGAAACCTCTTGCTCACCAGCTCTGGGGGTCTGGAGAGCGTGGAGGGCACAGGAAGGGTGTGGGGATGCCCTTGGGGTGCGCCTTGCTTGGAGAGCTGAGCCTCCAGTGCGCGTACCTCCACCTGCGGGGAGGGGGCTGCTGAGTGCTCCGAGGGGGTGGAGGTCTCCGACGTGCTCTCATCGCGGCTCTTCTGTGAGAAGGAGAAGCGCTTAACGATCATCTGTGAGTTCTGCTTGGCCAAGGAGCCAAACTTGGCCGCCCGCTGCAGCACTGAGCCCTTGAAGTTGGCGTCGTCCACCTTGAGGTCGTCGCTGGAGCTGGCTGTGCTCAGGTGGCCCGAGTCCAGGATGACGCTGCCCCGGTTGCTGTCGGAGTCGATGTCGGTGAGGTGCAGATCAGAGCCACTGGCCACCTTGATGGGGATGGGGTTGGAGATCTCCAGCCGTGCCTTGGAGTCCCGCTTGGACGCACGGTTGAGGTTGAAGAAGCCCCTCCGCATACTCATCTCCTCCAGGCTCTTGAGCTCAGCTGCTGACATCCGCTCCTTCTTTTCCTTCTTTTCTTTCTTCTCCTTCCTGGCCCCATCCTTCTCCTTGTCTTTCTTCATCAGGTTGAACATGGTGCTGCTGCTTGTGGCACTGCCGCCTGCCTGTGGGACAATGCACAGACGTGATTAGACAGTGCATGGAAAACACTGACCCTAACGCACCCCCATGCTGCCATCCCATGCCCAGTGTGCCCCAAAACAAGCCCAGAGCCTCGGCATGACCCCATGCACCTATAGGACACAACCCCATGCACTTCCAGGAATGGGGCAGTAAGAAATCCCCAAATCTGGCCACGTTCACAGTGGGGACAGTGAGAAGAGAGCCCCAGCACAGAGCCCTGACTGAGCACTCTCTAACAACCCAGAACCTGTAAAATTGCATCACTCTGAAGCACTGAAAAATGCCCAGTTTTAGCAGGGTGCTGCACATCCCATGAAGTTGTGTGACCTCCGGGAACAGTCACTCTTTCATTTGGGCATCCCAATCGGGGGGAGGGCCCCAACCCATGGCAAAGCCATGCCACAGCCTCCCTCCCAGGCTCCCAGCTCAGCCCCAGGGCACCACACGGTCCCCACGCTGCCACCCACCACCCACCGACCTCCCTTGTGCATCAGGGCTGTGGGTAAACAACCCCAAAACCAACCAGCCGGGTGGGAAAGCAGCGAGGGACAGGCTGACATCTATATATAAACAGGGCAGGAAGCCACACCGCGCAGGAACTTAACCTCGGCACAAAGGACAACAGGAAAGCTCCCTGCGTTGGAAGCGCCTGCGGTAGAGCTCTCTGAGGGCGTCAGGAAAGTGGTTAGTACATCAGCAGCAGGACTATGGGCACCCAGTGAGCATGTGAGCCATGCCGTGCCGTGCCATGCTGTGCTATATGATGCTGAAAGAGCTGTGGCTCAGCTCCACTGAAGCATCACCACCCCCTGGGCCACCTCCCTGCAGTGGAATGTGTCCCCCGTTGCACCCAGCGGGACACAGGGCACAAAGCCATGAGCCCCACAGCTCCATCCCAGCATCTCCAGCAACAGATTGTGCAGCAAAGCTTCCCTGCACTGAGGACCAGGGGGTTACAGTGACAGCTCTGGGGTCTCGGTGCTGGCAGAGGGACATCCATGCATCCATCCCGGGTCACCCACTTGCTTGGGTGTCCCCAAGCAGCATGGCTCGGCCTTGGCACCCCAGGCTCACCCAGGGCGGGCAGGGACTGCCGGGACCCTCGCTTGGTGCCGCTGGGTGGCACAGCCGCAGGCAGGTGCCGCTGGGGCCCCAGGCGTCGCGCAGCTCTTTGTCCTCAGCGCTCCTCTCCCCCGCGCACACGCTGCCTGCCGGCCTTTGTATGCTCGGCAGCGGAGGGAACGAGCGGTAGGAGCTGCATGGCTAATGAGCCGGCACCGCCGACCAGCTGCACCGCTGCGTGCAACCAACGCAACCCGAGGTCACTGCCTGCTCCTGAATCACCCGACGCTCTGACCCCGCTCCCGATCCACTCACCCAGCGCTCTGCCTGCCTCGGCCCGAGCTCGCTCCGGGATTATCTGGGTGTGTTCGGGTGGCAGCGTGCTTGAGCTGTGACACGGGTGGGAGAGGCGGCCGCCAGCGCCAGCTTCGCCCATGCACTGCATGCGAGGTGCCTGCTGTGATGTCCCCTGTGTGCTGACCCCAACGCGAGGTGACCCCCCGGCCCCTGAGGGTCTCTGCCCCCCTCTGAGCCCTACAGGTGCCCGGCAGAGAGGGAGGCACTCACTGGAACTCGGGGCCACTCCCCTCCACGCAATCTCGCCCGACGCGCTCCCGACGCAGGGACCTGCAGCACCAGTTTGCTGCCTGCCCTGTGGTGCCGGCGGTGGGAGCCCACGGCTGGCAGCCCTTTGGGGTCCCCGTGCTCCACTCGTGCTCAGTTTGGGGCTAGCAATGGAGACCCGTGCCACAGCTCCCAGCCTCCTTGCCGGATGCCAGCACAAGATTTCCGCACTCCAAGGAGATTTAGGGGTTTTCCAACCTCTGCACACTGCCTTGTGGACACCATCGGGATGCATCAGGAGGACAGCGTGCTGCCAGCCTTTGTCTGAAGTGGGATTTTGGGGCTTCCCATGCAGGAAGACAGCGACAGAGGTCACGGCTAGATGGGAAACACAGCCCTGTGCCTGATAGCTCCGATGCATCACCACGGGGTGTGTGCACCTGGCAACAAAGCAGGGCAACCGCACAACCTGGGCGTTACAAAACCCCACTGCCCAGGGAAGGAAGGTCCAGGCTCAGGGACACACCATGCAACGGGTCACCAGCATCACGTGCCATTGCATGGTTTGTGCCCTCACTTTGCAGCACGGCCCTGCTTTGCTATGTGCCTCCCAGCTGCAGCGTGCCCCCCAGCAGGGCCCAGCCCACAGCACAGGGCTCGTCACCGGGCAAAGTCCAGTGCCGGCACAGCAATCACACCTGGCTCAGCCCAGGGCAGGGGGTGGCTCCATCCCCCACCACCGAGGTGCCCCGTGGGTGCAGGGACTGGGGCCATGCCGTGAGCCCACGTTTTTCAGTGCTTGCCCTAAGCGTAGCTGAGGTGCTGGGTGACCAAACGATTTGCATCTCAGGGTTTGCCAGCTGCAAACCACACTATTTCTGGACACGCGTCCTGCCAGCCCTCGCCCGCTCCATATATTGGTCCCCAGGCAAAATAACACGGGGACAAACCCCGCAGCAGTCACAGCCCCGCCAGCCCCATCCTCATCCCAAAGCCGCCCCTCGGGCACCCCGCAGCTCCCCCCCCCGCTGCTGCTGGGTGGGGGAGAGATGGGCGAACGGCTTTCGTGTCATTCCCTAATGGTGCGGCGGGGGAAGGGGTTGGTGGCAGGCCAGAGAGGTGTGCAGGGAAGCACCCACGCATGGGGCACCCCCTGGGGACACAGCAGCCCCCCCAGTGGGTCACACCCCGGCGGGGTTCGGCGTGCGGTGCCCCAGCGAGGAGGGGGGGGACGCAGCAACGAGGGCACCGCAGCACAACAGCGGCATTCGCAGCGCGGGGGGAGGAAACGCGCACGCGGGGACGCGCGCACACGCGCACAGCGTTGCGGCCCGGCCCGCGCGGGGGGTGCAGGCGCGGCGGCCCCGCCCCGGTGCCGGTGCCGGTGGAGGAGGCGGCGCGGCGCGGTGCGGTGCGGCGGGCACTCACCCGGCGGTGGCGGCGGAGCGGGGCCCGGCGGTGGCGGTGCGGTGCGGTGCGGAGGTGCCGGGCGGCGGCGGCGGCGGCGCGGGGCGGGGCGGGGCGGCTCCGCACCGGGGCGGGCACTGCCGGCTCTGCGCGCGCCGCCCGCTGCTCCGGGTGCGGCCCCGAACGGCGCTGCGCGGCGCGGGACGGGCGGGATGGGGCGGCACGGAGCGGCTCGGGATGGAACGGCGTGGGGGGGTGCGGGCTGCGGGCTGCGGGCGGGTGTCCGTGCTGACCGCAGCCGGCTCTGCGCGCACCGGCAACGCGCCCCGAGTGTGCGCGGTGCGTGTGCACGGGCCGTGATGTGCCCCCGGTGCACGCACACCCCCCGTGCACGCAGCCCCGCTTCTATGGACACCCGCTGGTTGCGCACACGCAGAGGGGGCGCCCTGCGGTGCGCACACCTGTTCACAACGTGGGTTGCACACACACACCCCCGTGCCCGCAGTGAGATGCTTGCATGCTCACTTTGGCACACGCACACGCACGCGGTGTGCTCACATCGTCAGCACAGCGTAGGGTGCAGTGCTGGAGTCCCTGCAGCTGGCAAAGGGAGCTGCTTTGGTGCTGGGGCAATGAGGCTGTGTGCTGCTGAGGCACTCCTTTTGGGAAGGGACCAGCAAGGAGCAGCGCTGTGATCCTGCGAGGGGAGGATCACCATCCCCGTGTGGGCACAAGGATGGAGCTGGAGGCCCTGGGATGCTGGGTGCCTGCAGACAGCACACAATCAGCAGTGAGCACCTCCAGCAGTGAGCCATGAGCCCTTTGCTGTGCCCTTCCATTCATGTCAGAGGGATTTAAGCACAGCCCAAGCCCCAGAAAGGCTGCAAAAAACCCAGGTGGCCCAGCCTGAGTACTGTAAGAGCTGTGAGGGAGCAGGGACCACCCCTGAGGATATCCCCCCCATCAGACAGCCACAGGGGAGAGCAGTGCAGCCGGCAGTCAGACCCTGCAGCCGCTCCTCTCCCTTCTCAGGGGCTCCCGGAGCCTCACACGTCTCTGCATGGCTGCACAGCTCCATGGAACACAGCCTGGAGCCCAGCACATGCATGCGAGGTCCCACTGGATGCCACCAGCTCTCTCTGAGCACGGTTCTGTGTCAGCCATTGGCAAATCCTGCACTGCACAGCATTCCAGGGAGAAACGGCCTGTGCTGGGCTGGGGGGAGGCATCTGTTCCACAGCACTACGGGGCTTTGCTAAATAGGTCACTGCTTTTTTTATAGTCTCGGGATCTAGAAAAACCAGTTGTTCCAGACTGCCGGCGGACCTGGAAACGTGGCGGTGGTGGATCCCCAGGTGCTCTCACCGCCGTTCTCCCCGCTGTCCTCAGCCGAGAGGGTCACAGTGTGAGCGGGACGAGCGGCGGATCCCTGAGCAGCACAGCTGGGTGTGGCTGTGGAACAGGCAGAGGTGTTTGGGGCCGGCTGCCCGCCGCAGGCTGTTTGCGCTGTGGGTGCAGCCCTGCACACCGCTGCACGCCCGCATGCGCCGGCTGCAGGCCGCTGCTCGGGGTGAGCTCTCCCTCTAGCGGCACCCAGCTCCTGGCCAGCCTGCCAGCCCTGCGGGGCTGTGCCCAGCACACATCTGGGGGCTGTGGGGTGCTGCGGCCATGCTGCGGTCTGCAAAAGTGACAGCTTTGGGAGCGGTGGGACAACCCCCACAGCCAGCGTGCTGCCACACAGCAGCAAAAACAGCGGCCTTGTTGTGGTCGGACCTCAGCGGTACATCCCCACAGTTGTGCTCAATCGCCTTGACCCCATTGATGTAGGGGGCTACACACCACCCCAATCCTGTCCCCAAAAGCAGGGGCATCCCAGCTCCCCATGGGCACCGTCCCAGCCCTGCTGTGTCCCCGCAGGCCTCGCGCCAGGCTGGGCTGCATTCCGCGCTGACAGGGCGCTTTGTTTTGTGCCGAGCAGACAAAAGGGGCAGTCAGACGCGGGCGGCGCTTTGTGCTGGCGGCCATGAGCTGAGGCAGCAGCAGTCCTCACTGCCACGCTGCCTCCCAGCCCCAGCAGCCTGTCCTGCAGCAGCCATGCCACTCCTGGCCTGCACCCACCATGGCACCCCTGCCTGGTTGGGAAGGGGAGCAGGGCCTGGTTGCCGTGGTTACCAGGAGGCTTTGGGCCTAGGTAGGCCTCACTGCCATAGTTACTATGGGGCTTGAGACCCAGGTAGGCCTCGTTGCCATGGTTACTGTGGGTTTTCAGACCCAGGTAGGCCTCGTTGCCATGGTTACTGTGGGGCTTCAGACCCAGGTAGGCCTCGTTGCCATGGTTACTGTGAGGCCTAGCGCCACTAAGGCCCGTGGTGGCCCTGCACCCCCACAGGCCTGGCATTATCTGTGGGCCCAGGGAGCGAGCAATGGGGACCAGAAGGCCTCGCAGCAGCTCCCACCACTGCCCCGCATCCCTCCTGTGGTGTGAGGAGGGCTGGAGGATGCAACTACACCATGTTGTCCTCGCTGCCCCACAGCACACAGGGCAGGGGGACCCCAGACGGTGCCATGCTGCTTCCCACCTGCCCCCGGGCCAGGCCAGCCCCGTGACGGCGCGCTGCATTGCCCCTGGAAAATGCCAGAAGCGTCAAACTGTTGAGTCATTCGCGCCCAAGATTATCTGTACAAACAGCCGTCCCTGATTATTTTTGTTATGATCTTTTTTTTTTTTTTTCTTTTTTTCCTTTTATTTTTTTTTTTTCCCCCAAGAATGTAGCCCGGACCATGGGGATGAGCTGCTGAAATCTCCGGGGATCAGCAGGACAATGCCAGTGGGAGCATTGTGCTGACGGCTCTGCAAACGCTGGCACCGGCTCCGGGCCAGCAGCGCCCTATAAAAGCTGAGCCGCTGAAGTAGGCAGACATGACATGGGCGAAGCAGCTGTACCGCCTGAGCTAGGTGAGTCCTGGGGCTGACCTGCCCCATCCCAGCCCTGCTCGACTCGCTGCTGCCTGGTGCAGCCCTTCCTCTGCCTGGTGGTAGGAGAGGTGCCCAGAGGGTGACACGTCCCCGTTGGCACAGTGGGTGGCAGACAGCCCCGTAGCCAGGGGCAGATCTGCACCCAGCTGTGGCATGGCACCCTGTTGGCACCCCAGGTTGTGAACCGCGGCCATCCCGATGCTCCTGAGGAAGGAGTGCTCAAGGGAGGCACAAGAAAGGCAGGGATGGGAGCGGGGGTCTCACGGACCCCCCAGGGCACAAGGCAGGCTGTGGGAGGAGGGAGCCCCCCCCGTGCCCCTTGGGCTGTTCTGCAGCTGGTGAGGGTCTCATTGGAAGCTATCAAGGGAGTGCTCTGCAGCATCAATTGGTTTTCCTTCCTTCTCCAGACACCTTTCCAGCAGCAAAGATGGCTCAGACAAACCCTCTGCCTGTCCCCATGGGCCCATGGAAGGTATGTCCTCGCACGCCCTGCGTCTCAGGTGGGAGGTGGGGAACAGGTGAGGACAAAGCCAGTTCTCTCTGGCAGTCCTCTTTGCAGTGTCCTGGCCTGGCCATGCCCTGCCCTCACCAGAGGTGCTGTATTAGGCAGCTGTTTCCAAAAGCCAAGCACTGTCATTACCACCCCCTAAGGGTGAAGGCAGGCTGGGTACAGGCCAGCAGGCATGAGAGCTATGAAGGTGGCAGTGGGTATGGAGAGCAGCCTTGAAGGTGCTAGGGCTGATGACAGCTCCGGCAACATGGCCAGTTCATGTAGGGAATGAGGAGGGAAAGGAAAATCACAGATAAGTGGGCAGAACCCCACGGAAAGGATGGCATCAACCACAGCCCCAGGGAATCCCCCCTTGCCCTTTTCCCGTTAATCCTCTCTGCCCTAGAGCGTTCGGAGCAGAGGCCGCGAGAACCGCCAGCCACAGCCCTGCCACCTGCCCATCCCAGAAGGGCTCCACTCCTCTCTCCGGACGGTGCTGCTGCCCCAGGAACTGACCTTAGGGGTGAGCAGGAGCAGAGCGGGGCTGGCGTGCGGCTCCCCGGCAGCAGGCAGGGAGTGCGGGGCCAGCGGTGCAGGGATGCACGAGGTGCAGGGGCTGCAAACCAGCCCAGAGATGTGCCCAGCACATCCCAGAGCAGTGCCCGGTATTCCTCCCTGGATGGAGCATGAACCCATCTCAAAGAGGTGCTGAACTCCCCTGGGACCACTGCCACGCTGTTCCCGACTGGGCAGCTCCTTCTCTGTTCCAGATCACCGTGTACGACCAAGAAAACTTCCAGGGCAAGAGGATGGAGTTCACCTCGGCCTGTCCAAACATCATGGAGTGTGGTTTCGACAACATCCGCTCCCTAAAGGTGGAATGTGGCGCGTGAGTACCTGGTTCTGGTGGCATGAATGCTTTCCTCAGTGGGGGGCTTGTGGGGTGAAGTGCAAGTGCAAACAGGGCCAGGCAGGTTTACTCCACTAAGCTAGAGCCAGCACTGTAACCGGGGGAAGCCAGGCATGGGGATCCCATGCTGCCGGAGTAGGGCAGCCAGCTCTGGGCAGTGTCACAGGCACCGGGCATTCAGGGCCAGAGGACAGCAGCAATACCTTTGGCACCATCCAAACCCGCAGTCTGAGAGCAGCCAGGATTGCAGCTGCGTTGCACCCAGCATGGATGCTGCCTAAAAACACAGCAAGGATCAGTGCTTAGAGAGCTCTTGGCTGGTGAGTTCAGCCTGCTCCCCATTCATCCGTGTAACCCTGTGAAGCACTGCTTCAGAGCCCCATTTCTCACCCCAGGGCCCTGCTCTTTGCTCTTCCAGCACTATGTGACTCCCCCAGGCCAGACCTGAGTCTGCCTGCAGCCCAGGCTGAGCTGCCCCAGTCACTGTTAGGGTGTGGACCAGAGCCAGGCTTTTCCTTGCATGCAGGAATCCTCCCTATACCAGGCAAGACAGCTCCCGAGCTGCTCCAAGTTGCTGTGTGTAAGGAGCAGTCCTGGTGGCAAACATCCCGCTGGGGCCGGGGAAGCAGACAAGATAGATTTGCGCTGCTATATTTAGGATTTGTAATGCTAATGGGATTACCACAGCGTGTGTGCTCACGCAGTAATCAGCTCACTGCTCCAGTTGATGTGTTCGCACTCAGGCTGCTCACCTTGCTGACTGGGAGGCTGACTGCAGGGATGGGACCAGGGCTGAACTTCAGTCCCCAAAGAAGGCGAGAAGTTCTCAACCCCCCCAGCATCCCACATACCCTCTCTGAACAAGTGGGATGTACAGTGGTGTGCCATCCTCCTCCTGGCCCCTAGCTCAGCCTCTGCCTCCCTGCTAAACTCAGCTGTAGCTGTCCCATCCCTAGTCCCTCTGCTGCCACGATGAGTGTCCATCAGGTGGCAGCCACAGTGACACCCTTTCTGGGGGTTCTGCTCATGTCCAACACTTGCTTTCCTTTCCTCCACCACACCTGGGCTGGTGGGCAAATATCAGACCCCAATCCTCCTTGCACCTCCATCTGTGGCCTCAGCGGGAAGCCCTGGCAGCCCTTGCTCTGTTTTGTTTTGCAGCTGGGTTGGTTATGAGCACACTGGTTTCTGCGGGCAGCAGTTCATCCTGGAGAGGGGCGAGTACCCGCGCTGGGACGCCTGGAGCGGCAGCAATGCCTACCACATCGAACGCCTGATGTCCTTCCGCCCCGTCTGCTCTGCTGTGAGTGCCCGTGGGCAGCCAGGCTCCTGGCTTGGGTGGGTTGCAGGGCGGGAATTGCCCCAGGCAGGGCAGGAGCTGCTCCAAGGTTTCTGTGCTGCAGCATCCTCTGTTACCCCAGCATGGAGCCAGGCATAGGCAGGGAGCAGCACTTTGCTAGGGGCAGCACGGCACTGCACAGCAGCTCCTGAACCCTCAATTTTCCGAGCCAGGAAACCCAGGCAGCATCCACTAGGACAAGGGAGAGCAGTTAGGAAGGGCAAACCTGCTAGTCCAGGGGCTCTGCGGGTGGTAAGAGTCTTCAGGGTGGTCCCCGCTCTCCCCATGCTCAGCAGGATTGGCCACAGCAGCCCCAGGAACCCCCCAAATCAGGCTGTAGGGAGGGGAAGCCTTCCCCCAACCATTCAGCCCCACTCACCTCCCCTTGTCCTGCTGCTCTTATGGCCCAGAATCACAAGGAATCCAAGATCACAGTCTATGAGAAGGACAACTTTATCGGCCGCCAGTGGGAGATCAGCGATGACTACCCCTCGCTGCAGGCCATGGGCTGGGCCAACAACGAAGTGGGCTCCATGAAGATCCCCTGTGGCGCGTAAGTGATGGGCACAGGGCCTGGGCTGAGCAGTGGGGACAAGCCAAGGCCGTCAGCACGCAGCCCCACGCCCCCCTCCTATCTCATTCCCTTACGGCTGCCTGACAACTCCATTTCTTGCAGCTGGGTTTGCTACCAGTACCCTGGGTACCGTGGCTACCAGTACGTCCTGGAGGCCGACCACCACGGGGGAGACTACAAGCACTGGAGAGAGTGGGGCTCGCACGCCCAGACCTCCCAGATCCAGTCCATCAGGCGCATCCAGCAGTAGCTGCCCGGTGCCTGGCCCCACTTCTGAGCACATCTTTGCAAGGTTTCTAAAGCTCACCGGCTCCCTTTTGGTGCTAATAATCCCCTCCTGAAATAACAACCCCTTCTTGTACTGCAACTGCTTGATGGAACAACACTTCTAAACGGTACCAGCTGCCACAACTGCCAATAAATAAATGTGACTGAAAGAAAAAGATAAAACGGCCTGATGGGTGTTTCCTATTGCGCGTTGAGGTCACACATCCCATCCTGCCCCATGCCCTGCACTCACAGCCCCACAGCCATGGGCACTGTGTGTTCCCTGTGCCCCAGGGCCAGGGGATGCTCCCTCGGAGTGCAAAAAGAGACACGCCGACACCCATAAACTTTAAATTTTTTATTCAATGATTTACATCACTTATTGTCCATCTTAACGTATTCGATCTACACAATTTTTTTTTTTTCCTGATAAAATAATAAAATTTGGATAAATTTTGAAGACCTGTTGGTGCAGAATAAACAAAATTCAGGTAACTTTTTTTTTTTTTTTTTTCCTTTTGATTATTTTTTAAAACATTTAGTGTGAAGTATGACATCATTGGTAAAGATACATCATGCCATTACAGCTCATGGACATTCCCTATCCTTACAGTCCGTGACACCACCTGCCCCAGACGCAGCTCAGCAGGTCGCACGCTCACTCCTACTGCTGCCCTCTCACCACTGGGAAAATGATCCCGTTTCAGCTGGGCACACCGAGTGTGTGAACCCATTCAAACAGACCGGGAAGGGGAGAAGAAAACAAAACTGACCTTGACTGTTTCAACGTGGACAACAAAGAGGTGCTGCCCCTCTCCGGGGTCAGAGTAACTCAGCTCCAGAGCAGGTAGAGCACAACCCCTCATGGTTTTAACATGGGGAACTGAAGGATGTGGGAGCTACGGGCAGGGCAGGAGGGTCTGAGCCGGGCCCTGCTCCATTCCACAGCTCTCTACACTGCTGCTAACACTGAAGTATCTGGGGAGGGGGAGAGAGGGGCATCTGTCCCCCCAGTAAACAAGTCGAGGCCCTTCGGAAGCATGCAAGCTGCCGAAGGTGTGTAAGTACACGTGTGATGGTAGATAGAAAAGCAGCCCTGTTTGGTATGAAAAAAGCCATCAAGTTAGTACAGGTTTCTGCCACGGCGGAGGGAATGTAAGGAGAAAGGTGCCGGGGTCCTCCTCCCAACTCCAGCCTTCCCCACAGGGGGCTCAGCAACACGCCTGCAGAGCTGGCACCTGCAGCCCAACACACGTCACTCACGAGAACAAAACCAAGAGCAGCTCTTACCCAGCACTGCACACACACAGCCCTCACTGCAGCACAGCACCCTGCGTGTGTGCGGGGCACAGGGCTGCCACGTGCCAAGAGCCCACAGTGCTCCATGCCCTCCTCTGGCACAAGGGCACCATGCAGAGACACGGAGCACGCGTTGACCCGGAGCATGCCCAGCAAGCCAGCTCACCCCTCTCCCTCCAATTACTAAAGTAGGCTCTTTAAAATAAAAAAATAATATATATTTATATAGATACACAGAGAGACAGAAAAAGCAAAGAGAGACAGGCTACTAAACTCAAGAAGCGCCAGTTTTCTGCTACGCTGTCAGCAAAGAGCTGTCACCTTGCATCATGCCCTCCGTGGTAGGAAGATAACGCAGGCAACGACAGCATGGGAATGCAAAGAGGGCAGATAAGTCACTTCTGGTAATGAGACACAAATTAAACTTTCAAAACATGTGCATAGCTTTATTCATCTGCTTCAAACGAACCTTTTCACGGAGCTTCAGCGAAACCCGAGTGTGCAAAATGCATTTCTAAAAAATAACGCAAGCAAGCTTTCACATTGACAGTGGCAGAAGTACAGAGAGACTGAGGGAGAGCACATGGGAGGGTGAGGAGAGAGATGAAGGAACAGGAATTGCACAGCTTCACATCCCAAGTCACTGACTGCACGCTCCACATCTCTGCTTGGGCAACGCACGCGCATTTATCTTTCCTTTAAGAAAACAAACAAACAAAAAGGGCAAAAGAACCCCCCAGTAACACGAACCACAACGTGGAAGGGAGCAAAGCCCTGTGCCACGGGGATCCTGGTGGCCGCAGAGAACCTCGAGCCCAAAGAAGGGCTGGTTTTGGACCTCTGCTCATTTCTGTCTGCAGAACAGCAAAGCAGATCCTCTTCCTCCTGCCCCGGTCCCCTCAGAAGCTGCACCAACAGGTCATGTTTGGGAGGACACGTCCCAGCTGTAGGACAGCCTCCTCCGCAGCCCCACGCCGTGGCTGAGCACACACACAAGGCACGTCTGGGATATGCACACACCTGGGTGTGCAAGAGAGCAAACGCTGGGCAAAAGACGGCGCCGACGGAGGGAAATTGTGGTTTTTGTAATCCCAAAGCGTTGTTCCTATGCTCCTTCGGACCCTCCCGACTCCTCCCTCACACCAGGGGTCCTGTAAGGATCTCCATAGCATCAAGCTCTCCGTGCCCGAAGTCCTGTGCACCCTCCCTGGGGCAGGAGGCCGTGTGGTCTGAACATCACTGCTTTGCTTCTGGTCGACTTCACGTTGGGTACAGCATTAAAAAGATATATATATATATATTTATATGTTTGGGTTTTTTTTTTTTTTTCAGAGATGAGCGATTTCCTCCCAAAGATGCATTCAAATAGAAAACAAAATACTAGAAGTGGCAATGAGACACGAACTCATTGAGATTTCAGACCTTCTGGGACATCATCCCCACATCACCAGCAGGCAGGAAGGAGGAGTTGGGATGGCGCATCCCTTCCGATAGCAGCTTGAGAAGAGGAAGGAGAGAGAGAAAAGCACAGTGTTCTTCCAAGGTCAGAGCTCTCCTTTGCTTTGCGTTTGCATAGAAATCCCCGTGGGTCAGCACCAGGGTCGGGCCGTGGGGGGGCTGTGTTACAGGAGGGGTCGGCTCTCCTCGGGGAACTCAGGGGACAAAAGTGCATCACACAGTCTGGATTTTCGGGGTTACGAATAGCAGCAGCAGCATCAATCGCGGGCGGTTGGAGACTCACTCTCAAACGCAGCAACGCTTAATGAAATGTCTTCGAGGGAGGTGAGAGGAGGGTCCTTCTCAAAAGGATAACGTGAAAATCAGACTATTCCATACAGACAACGAGGAGATCAACCGAAAATTAAAAGACGCGTCATCTTATTTACATTAAAAAACAACCCAACAACATCCTTGTTAGAATACCTTAACGACACCTAAGCAAAAAAAAAACAAAAAAACAACCATATTTTAAGAATAAAGCCCAAACTCCTAAAGCAGTATCCATTTTTGGAACCCTTATTTAGCACCTGAGGAAAGACCGTCTGGAAAGCAGTTTCTTCTTGTTTTTCTCTGAAGAAAAAACAGTACTGGTACTTCTGCTCACACATTCGCAGTACACAAGTTCCATACCACAGGAAGAAATGAACTAACGTTTTTTGTAATTTTGTTTTTTGTTTTTTTGTAATTTTTTTTTTGTAATTTTTTTTTTTATAATTTTTTTTTTTTAAAGATAACTCTACTCGTTACTAAGGCTGTAAGAAAAGGGACACCGCTATCTTACAAAATGGCTTTAGAGCTCTGGACGTAGCCATACGAAGCTTTCTGATTAACAGTCGAGATCGATACAGCTCGGCAGCCCCCAGAGCACGGGGGGTCCCTGGGCCTTACCCTGTGTGCGATACGTATTGTGCAAATTCCTAAAGCTCTGGGATCTCTGGCCGATGGAGCAGCTGGGGCTCTTCTGCTCCCTTCCCCTCGCTTCTCTGCGCCGTGTTTTGCAGGTGCGAAGGCAGAAACCTTGTTGTCGTGCTGGCCAAAGCTGCAGGGCTCCTTCCTCAGCCACCTCCCAGCCTCACGCCTCCATCTGAAGTTTTGTAGCAGCTTTACGTTGGGTTCAGCCTCGTTCTCTCCCCTCCTGACCTCAGCCACCTTCCTTGTAAGCAGCCTCTGTACAGAAACAAACGGCCGTGCACACACATCTCCAGGACAGTCCTCCAGCAGCAGTGTGCTGAAAACACCACACTGAGAGCAAAATCACACGCAGGAAAGCTCCTGGCTACGAGCATCAGTGCTCCAAGCAGCTCCACGTTGGGGGGAAAGGACGCTACGTGCCAAGGTGATGCTCTCCTCAAGGTGAAAAGCACGCATTACAGACTTAATTTTGAGGATAACTTATTTTTTTCCTGCCTTGGCTGAGCCAGCTGGTGCTCCCCTGTTGGCCATCACAGAGCAGCACGGCTGGGATCCAGCAGGAATTGGTTTCTGCCGCATTTCAAAGCTCACAGCAGCAGGGAAAGGCAGACAGCAGGGCTGACGGGACAGAAAGGGTGACGGTGAGCAACAGAGCCACGTGCTGGAGCTGACCACGCTATCACACAGACCCCAGAAACTGCAGATTTTGGATTTCACAGATAACGGAGGAGGGTTTAGAACAACCAACCCAACCGAACCTCAGCACCACAGCGTTGCTGACCCAGCAAACAGGCAGGAAAACGGAGCGCCCAGGGGCTGCAGGTCTTTGTGCTGCTCCCTGAGTCACCACCACGTTTGGAGACCATTTAATGGCACGTAACCAAGACTTTGCTCAACGGACACCTGCAGGACCTGCTGGAGACGTGGGGAATCACCAAGCTCCAGCGGGCACCAGAGACACCCACACATCTGTACACTGCTCACATCAATACGAAACCTCGCAACGGGTGGAAAGGGAGAACGGAGAAGTGAAAGCAGCCCTAACCTGAACCAAGACCCTCATCGCTACAAGAAGGTCGTCACCACCCTTAGAGCCGCCTTTCCAACACTACACGTACGTGAGGGTTTTACAACTCACTCTGCTCAGTGTAACAAAAGCAATGGCACAAATAAACACACGCTCGTGTGACGCCGGCACCCGCAGCCCAGCCCCACGAGCGCTCGCCCCACGGGGCTGTATTTGGTTTATGCTACAGTACTAATACTCTGAATCCGACCGACCGACTCAGCAGGAACACTTTAGCGTTATTTCAATGCGCTAAAATGAGTCACAGCTCAATTTTTATTTTTTTTTCAATTTTCCTTTTTTTTTTTTTTTTTAAAACGTTTACACAAAAATAATCAGAAAACAGATTAAATCTTAAGATATTTTTAATAAGTGCTCAGCAAAGAATTGTGTGAGGACAAAGGGAGGACTGCAGATGGACAGGGCGAGTTACACAAAGCACAGAGGGAGCTCCCTCCACGGCCCTGCATGGCTCGGGGCAATGCCTGCCTGCCCCATGGCCCTTCATCAGCAAACCAGAGCTGCAAGAGCTCAAAGAGGAGCTCCTATCTGCCTAGTGCCCAGCAGGTGCTGGGAGGACAGCCGGACAACCAGAGGGGTGGTAGGAGAGAGGATGATCAGGGATACAGCAGGAAAGGTGGTGGTTGTGCATCAGAACCACCGACAGCACGGGGCCAAGAGAGAAGATGTCAGAAGAACCCAACCAACCCAACACAACTCAATGTCACCCAACCAACCCAACACAACTCAATGTCACCCAACCAACCCAACACAACTCAATGTCACCCAACGCAACTCAACGCAACTCAACGTCACCCAACGCAACTCAACCCAATGCTGGGCCCATGCTTCTTTCTGGGCTTCCACCCAGAAGGCAGATGGGGCTGGGGTACGGGGCCACACGCATGTATTTATTTCTAGGCTCGACGCCCCAGGGAGCAAAACAGGTCTTGGTTTTGTGTTTTTTAATGGAACCCAGCCCTTAAGGCGACAAGTGACTACACAAGGCAAATAAATACACAGCAGAGCCTTAAAGCCAGTGAAACAAACTGGAAGCTTTGCAAACAGCCTTTGCAAACACTTTGCTTTTCATTTTGTAAATAATAATAATAATAATAATAATAGATTTATTCTACCTTACCCCTCCCAGCCCCGTTATCCAGTTTGTTCAACGCTTTAAAGCTCAGGAAAGCCCCGGCCCTTTTGCAGCAGGGCCAGAAGCAATTCCCACTTTTGGCAAGCATTTGGGAGACTCAACAGAATTGGAATAGGAACAGAGGAGGACTGGATGCAGGGCACACCTGTAAACATGTTGTACATCCGCAAGTCACACACACACCCGCAAAGGTGATACAGGTTAGAGGTGAAACAGAACTATTTGCGACTGGCCAACCACAAATTTCAGACCTTGGACTGGTACAGAACATCACTACTATGCAGCACCACACCGGGGTATGGCACTCCATAGTACTGGATACATCAATGGAGTAGGCAATCCGGAGTCAAACTTGTAAAACGAAGCATTGCAGAAAGCTAGCCATCTTACAAAAGGTACAGAATTCAGTTCCATCGTCCCACCGTGAACCTCAGCGCTTCATCCAGGAACAATCTCATTAAAAGAGCAAAAACAATTAAAAAAAAAACAAAACAAAACAAACGACACGTGCTACGTACTGATAGTTCAAAACAAAACCAAACCAAAGCGGATCAGTCTAAGCACAAGGGGTGGGCAAAAGCTTTGGGCTTCTCTGCTTCCTGTAATGCCCCCGGGATCCAGACTGGTTGGAGAAGAACCCACTGGTTGCCCTCAGTTGGACCCAGGGCACTTTTTTCCATCTTTCCACCTTCACCAACCCAGGAACCACCAGCCGTGCTGCGATGGGACAGAGCGGGTTGCATGGCACCACTGCCTGAAAGCTCTCCTTCTGGTTGGATTTCTTTTTTTTTTTTTTTTTTTGGTAATAAAATATATTTTTATTAAGAGATCATTAGAAGCAGAGCCCGGAAATACACAGACTACATTAAAATATAAAAGACCATTTCCAAGGGCAGGTGCAGGAAGCCCAGCCGTTGGCGTTGCTATGGACAAATTGAGAAGGATTCAAATTCCCATTTTTCCTTTTTTTTTTTTTTTTCCCTTTTTTTTTTTTCCTTTTTCAATTTATAAGAGAACAAAACAAAACCAAACCATTTTTGTAAGGGTGAGTGTTAGCAGAACTCGATTCCATTTCAGATTTATCGATGAAAATGGGAAAAAAAATCCAGCATATTTAGTGTTAGGAGACAGACACAGCAAATATGAAGCACCTACGGTTGAAAGCAAGAGATTTTTTTTTCCTTTTTTCTTTTTTTTCCTTTTTTTTTCCTTTTTTTTTTTTTTTTTTTGCTCCCAGTTCTACAATGGCATTAAACAATGGGAACAGCGGTGTTCGTTGGTTTGTTTTTTTTTCTATTTTTTTTTTTTTTTTTAAACCATATTAAATGCCTAAACCAATTACTCAGTTTTCAACGTTGTCTTTTTAAAACAGAACAACTCTCCAGTTGCAACAGTCCAACGTGTAACCAGAGTCAATGGTGTGACTTCACCATGCATCCCAGAACTGCAGTGTGACCGTTTTCCCCCCCCAAAAGAATGATGCTTTAAGACAGTTTTCCCAGAACAGGGCTGGCTGCTTTACTCCTGGCAAAACGTGCGTTCAGATTTCTCTGGGAAAACAAGAAAAAAAAGACAAAAGAGAAAAAAAAGAAAAAAAAAAAGTCTGCAAACCTTGAGTGTTTCTTCAGCGTTCAATGGAAAACAAAACAAGGGAAAAAAAGATAAAACAACGACAAAAAAAAAAACCAACCCAAAAGGAGGAAGGGGAGATGAAGGATGGCGGATCATCCTGGTTTCTCTGTTAGTGTGTCATTACAGTCACAGAACAAGAGACAGAGACCTCGTCAAGTGGAAATGCCTCTCCAGTGGGTTGCTGTTGCCCATGCAGACAGCGGGAACTTTAGAACCGGGCTGGCAAACTGAGTCTGTGTTCATTAATCACCTGCATTCACTCTTTAAACAAAACAAAACAAAAATAATGAACGACACCAACAAAAAAAGAATTCTATTCAGTACCGGAGATTAAATAATCACGTGTGTAGTCTCGTTGAGATAAATTTTCCGATTCCTTAAGAAGTCTAATTACTTTCAGTCGCCATTTTTAAATAACTATATTATATATTTGTATATATTATCCTGTGATTCTAATTACGGTTCCTCTGCTGCACTGAAGATTTAGAAGGAGCATAAAAGCCTTTTGTCCCCCACGGACAGCACAA